ACTGATCGTATTGAGTATTAGTGTTATGATCGTAAGCACCTGATTGTGGCTCTTGATGTTGAGAACCACTTTGAGTGTTAGGGTATTGACCGCTCTGGTAATGTTCTCCTTCTTGTTGATAGTTAGGTTGAGTGTTATCATATCCTTGTTGTTGTTGTTGTTGTTGTTGTTGTTGATTATCGGGTCCATAATTTGAATCATCTGGACCTCCCTGTTGTTGGTAATGACTGCCTTCGTCTTCTTCGTTTTCATTTTTTTCTTCTGGTTCTTGAGGTCCTTCTTCAGCTCCGCCATCAAAATTAGAGTCAAATTCATCTTCTGTTGGATTATGAATTTGTTGTCCATGGGATTGACCTCTTGCCGGACCACTTGCAAGTGATTGAGCCATTAACTGTGCTAACTCTTCCTGACTTATTGGAAGAGTTTCACTGTCACTCTCTTTGAAATACATAAAACATTTTATTATATAATATATAAAATAAATCTTAAAAATTTAATAAATAACAAAAAAAAACAAATAATAACCCGAATTGAATGGTGATATTTCTGGAGCTAATGGATGAACACCACCGAAAAATTGTGCCAAAACTATATGATTGAGACTCAAACATATTATAGTTATTTGCAATAATAATTGCATTTTTACTTTCGATATTAAGTTGTTTTAATAAAAATTGATTGAAAACTTTTGAAAACTTGACTAAAGCTATGTTTCGTTCAATAAAAAGTATTATATACTATACCTATACTCTATATATAAATAATTTATTTATAAATAATATGAGACTTAATGACTGGTGAAGTGACAACCCATACCTGTCAACGCCTGAGGCTTAGTATACAACAGGTAATCGGTATATAATATTGCTGTCATTGGTTTCATAAGTTTCACTTGTATTGCCTTATTATATAAGTTTACGATTATATTATAGATTATTTGAAATTTGTAGAGCAAATCATAAAACAATGTTTGTCCTTCAAATATACCACTCAATTGTTAATATAACCTATTAATAGACTTTAATTTAGATAATTTTCTATACATTTAGTTTATTACTTTACAAACACAATTGGCCATCAATTAGTTAATTGTTAATAATTATAAAGTATAAACACTTTCATCAATTTCCTGTTTATATACAATATATATATCCTGTGATATACAGATTTTGTTTAAAAAACAATAATACTTTTATAATGTAATACTGTATTAATACTGTACAAAACAATATAATAATTTACTAAATGATGTCTACATTTTTTTAGTATATTGTTTACATGCAATTGTAACTTCTTTTTCTTGTTTAACATTTTTAAACCTAAAATATAGTAGTAATTGTTTACTTACTAAAACAACAAACAATATTAAATAAATGATTTTTTATTATTAAAACTTTAAGGAAGTATTGCAATCATTGATCTGTTATACATACATACAGAGCAATATTGTCTATGAATATACAATATATAACAGTGTGTTTGCATTACATAATAGTCAGGAAAATATGTTAAATATATAAAAATAATTAAACAAATTAAAGTAAAATTGTCTCATATTGCACATACTTTGTTCATTAATTATTAAAAAATAGAAAATTATATATATTTTTTGGTAATATTTAAATTAATATTAAAAATTGTTGTCATTTTTTAAATTTAAATAATTATACTGTATTATACAAATATATAATTTTAAATTATAGATTTATTAAATCGTTAAAGTATGCAATTTTAATTATATTTAATTTTGTTATATTAACTATAAATATTTTTATAAACTTATTTTTAACATAACAAAATCTTTTATATTATGAAAAATTAAATAATAATTAATATATGTATATATAAATATATCAACTGTATATAAATATAAACTATATACCATTATATACGATCGACTAAATGGATTTGATTTTAATAAATTTAAAAAGTAGTTTGTGTTAAGTTAAAGTAAAAATCTCCTGATTGTTATATTTATTATATTGTATTAATTAAAATTATATATATATTCTTGTATATATATATATTAATAATATAATAATAATAATACAATAAATACAATATAAATACAATAATAATTAATATTTAGTAATAATAAGAATGGGTGTTATTTTTTAAAAATAAAATTTATAATTTTAGTTATAATTTTATTTCAAGAATATGCAGTCGTATGACAAGCATATGAAGACATAATACCAATATAATTGATAATACAGTATAAGTATGTTTCGTATGTATTATTAAATTGCTTTGCAATAGACATAAATTACTATACATTATATAGTATGTCTATTGCAAAGCAATTTAATAATAATTATTATAAAATGACTACAATGTTGAACACATTCTGTATTTCAGTACAATTACACCTATTATTGCGTTAATTACTGAAAAATTACTTATATTTTGCACTCAATTGTGCTAACATGTAGTCTACGATTAAAATTCATTTAATATAGTAATACTGATAATAATAGTAATTAAATAACTTTATGTTTGAAATTAGTTATTACTCTTAAACTACATTCAATTATTAATTATATTTAATATTTATAAATATTAATAATTTATATTCAATAATATTATTATCATTATTATTATTATTTTATGTTATTCAAATACTTGAGGCCAGTCTCATGTGTTAATATATCTGAATCCACTAATTGTTTGTAATGATCGGTAAAGATGGTCTAATCGTCGGTAAAGATGGTCTAATGGGTTAATAAACTACACTCGCATTACATTTGATTTCTGTCTAAATCGATACTAAACCTCAAAAACATAAAAAAAAATTATAATTAGTTTTTCAGATAAATAAGTTTGATCTCAACATAAATAGTCTAATGACTTGGATTGCTGTCGACTATAATTTGTTGTTAATCTGAAACTTTAATTTAATATAATTTATTTTATTGTGTATTATCAGGAGGTGTCAAATTATTATTGTATAATCTTATTATAATGTTATAATATAATTTAATCTAAATTTTAATAGGACAACTACTTCAAAGTATTATAATAAATAAGGTGATTGTATTTTTATACTCAATATTTAGATCGAAATTATTATTATTATTATTATTTATTTAATAAAAATTACATATTTTTACAAAATAATATTAATTAAATCAAATTTAATAATTTTAATTGTCTAAAAGTAATGAATTATAACTAAGCATTACAATTTAATTTTAATAAGTTTAATAAAGTTTATAATTACATATTTGCTTAAAAATAATTATTTACATTTGTTTCTATAAATAATAATCTGTTTAAAAATGCTGTTTTACAATAATGTCTATAAATTATATATTGTAGAAACTATTACATTAAAATTAACAATCACTTGAAAATTACTTAGAAATAAAATAATGATTGAAGTTTACATTTGAATAAAGTAAATTTCAACCATTTTATATTTTATATATTAATAATTACTGTAAATTATAACATTATAGATTAGAAATATTTTAGTTTACAGATAACTTTTATTATGTGTATATAGATTTCAAACAATAGTAAAAAGTTATATGAGCTCTGAATTGGCAATCAATATGAAATTATTTTTAGTAATTTATACATTGAATAATAAATTAGAAAAATGTTTGAAAAGTATGATTAAAAATTATGAATCCCAATATGTGGCGGATAACTGTGTTTAACATTGTGTTTGGGATATGAATATACTGTTTTATGTAGCCTACAATATTAAAATAAAAAATTAATATCAAAAATTTAATTATATAACAATTATACTTAAGTTATAATTATTAAATACATATATATATATAATATAAAAAATAAAAAATTATTAACTCAGTAGTATTCACCAAATATTATTGTGATGTCTATCATATCTGTCATCATAACAACACCTACAACAGCATCGGTCATCATCTCTATACTGATCTCCTCTTAAATATCTTAACGAATCTTTGCCCCTAAATATTCTGTCTTTCAATCGGTCTCTATCTCTATGTAGATGAATGTGTGTCCGACCAAACAAACCAAATACTGGTAAATCCATAAAACATATGATGAAAAAACATAGATATAAAGTAATCCGAAGTATATTTTTCTTCAGTTTCCCTAAAATTGGGCACAAATATCATATAATAGTGTGTTAACCAAATAAAACACATATTTTATCGATTACTTACTTAACATAACTAAATTTATATTTATTAATATATATAAACAAAAAAATATATAATAAAGTAAACTTTAAGCAAATCTATTACAACTAAACATATTTAAATCAAACTAAGACTGATTACTATTAAGAAAATTTACAAATATTATAAACTTTTGAGTTTCATATGATATTCAAACTACAGGTATTTGTTTAATAATAGTTTAATATTAATTGTAACCACCCTTTATGTGTTACGGTTGTTCAACAATCAGACCATCTTTCCATTAATTGTACCTAAATTTGGTAAATTGTGAACTACTTGTATGACATTAATTGATACAATAGTTATATATTGACATAAACCAGATTTTAATGATAATTACTTTTGAAATGTGTGATAACAGTCACATCGATTGCATTTATTTTGCCTAAAGAAACTTTATTTGTAGTGAAATCGTTAACATGTTATCTAATTCTCATTATTATTTGTATAATGATATGCAAACATATTTAATGTAATCACTTTTTTAGAGAAACTTATTGTCTTTTGGGAAAACTTTGATAACTTATTAAATATTTTAGTGTCACTTCAATTGAGATCAATATTTAAATTTATGTAATATATCGTATTTTAATATCTTATATATATATATATATATATATATATATATATATATATATATATATATTACTTATAATGATTATTGATTCAATGATCCGTTTAGTTAAACAAATACAGACATAATTTTCATTTTCGTTATTTCAGTGTATAAAATAAAATGAATAATTGAAATATTATAAAATGAAATGTGAATTAATTAATTGCAAAAATAGTTTATTGGATACATAATGACAATATTATGATACAATAATTTTGGAATCATATAATCAAAGTCTAACCCTATCACCCAAATCAATGAGCTTCTCCTGATTATTCATATCCCATTCATAATCTCCACAATAGCCGTTTAGTATAGGCGCTGCCGGTATACCTCTTCTAAGCAAACGACACCTGTGCTGATCCAGTCTATGACGAGCGGTGTTCACGTCTTGAGTATCATTACTGTTACTCCAGAGTCTCTCTGCAGTAGACGATGCTCTCGGCCTTTCATTTATTATTATTAATATTATAATAATAAATATTATTATTATAAATTATATACAGTATTTAAATGAATAATTGAATAAATGAAATGATAATAATGATTACCAGAGTCGGGACAATATGTTAGTTGCGTCGACAAACTCGGACCAAATGCATACCTCTCCTCCTATAACTAATTTTTTTTCCTCTTCAGTTCCTGAATTATAAGATATACCAAATGTTATTAATTAAAAAGCATTTATAAACAATTGCTATTACCATTGAAGTGTCCTGGATCACATAAATAAAACTTTTCCCAATCTTGATCTGGATATGGTGTAGATATATAATTAAGATACCAACATGCTGATAATACCATTTGTTGACCTGGATCCAAACATTTATTTATAATAATGTATTTATATTTTTATAATCAATATATTGTCAATATTTATTAACCATTTTTAGCAATCTTTGTCGCATAGTTTTGCCATAAATCTAATTCTTTATCAAGTCTTTTGTCTTTCCAGATGACAACAATAGATCCATTAGCCAACTATTAAGTTATAAATTAGTTATTTGAATAAATAGTAAACTAAATATAAATAGTAATAATGAAACCTTAACGCCATTGTCAACCGGGTCCTGCCATAGCATAGTCTTATATCCTAAATCTTTAACATTTTCTAGAGTTCTCTTAACATAATAGTCCTCCACTTCTGACACTTTTGTCATATTATTATCTTTCATAAACTTAGAGATGTCTGGGTTTGATTCCCAACACCCATAAAACACTTCATCCATTCCTTTAAAATGCAAAATTACTTTTCAAACACGTGTTTCTAATTTATTATAAATTAGTCTATATATAAATCAAAGTAATAAAATAATTTTCAATTATAGGCTATAATTTATAGGTATAAACTACTGTAAATATAATTTATTAACAATTGGACAATTTGACAATTTTCTTAATGTATCAATAATGAAAATTTTAGTATAAATATTTAGATATCTATTTAATCTAATTATAGAGATCTATGATTATATGTCAATTAACTTATTTATTATTAGTAATTGTTATATAATTTTATAAAAATAGAATAGCTTAATAAAACTTGAGTTAAAAATAATTAATTAAAAACTTGATTATTGATATATTACAACAAAACTTGAATTATATTAATAAATAGCTATTAAAATAATAAGTTTTATTATTAGATATTTAAATATACTCTCGTAATATAATAAAAATCAAACTTAAATTATGATATTATTTTATAGTTCATTGTTTTTCACTAAAATAAATAAATAATTAAAATAAATGAATTTATATACAAAATTAATACCTAAATGAACGAAATCGTCTTTAAAAAGATTACGAAATTCTTGAAACAACTCTTTGATAAAACTGAACGATTGATTCTTCAGTGGATTTATTAATTCCATGGAAGAGAAGTGGGGATAATCGGGTGTATATGGCTTACCCTTTTGGCCGTAACAGGGAGTCAGTAGTTCGGGAAATGCCTTTCCCATAGCATGTGTGTGACCTATTGTTTAAAAAAACTATTGTAAAAATGTTTACATAAAACAGTGACTTTAGACCTGGAGTATCGATCTCTGGTATGACTCTGATTCCTCTCATTCTTGAGTATTCAATAATTTCTAAGACATCTCTTTGTGTGTAGACATGTCTTGGAGAATACGCTCCCTTTTTAGTCAATTCAGGGAAACGGTGACTAAAAGTATTGTTTTTTTACAATTTTACATATAATTAATCTTAAAAATGAATATTAAAATTAATTTAATATATATTTAATATTATATTACCTCTCAAATGGAAACGATTGATCATCAATGATATGCCAATGAAATACATTAAATTTATTATAAGCCATTGCATCCAAATTGGCTAAAATAACTTTTTTGGGTATAAAATGTCTGGCAGTGTCCATATGCATAGCTCTGAATGAAAATCTCGGAAAGTCATGAATCGATGTTATGTTAACTAATGTTTCTTTTGTTATATCATTTTGATAAACCAATTGACTGAATGTCTCTAATGCTCTGAGAGCTCCCCAAACAGTAACTGATGTGATCTTTGCTACGGAATTGTTGCTGATGTCTATACTATAGGTCTCGTTGTTATTATGCTCGGGATAACCACAATCATTGATATTATGGACATCAATATAAACAGATTTAAGGACAGGAAGTGTTGTTGATTTAACACTTCGTTGATCTATAAATATAATATCTCTATATCTCTTCATACCATTGATCAATACATCACAAGAAACCATATTTGCTTCAAAGCGAAAGCCCTTTGGATCTAAAGTTAATGTTTCATTTGATTTGATCCATTTTTGTGGTAAAGGCCAGGGAGAACCTGGATCTGGCACTCGACCCTATTTGGCATTTATTGATCACTACTGTATGTGTCATATCTAATATTTTAAAAACTTACCTCAAGTGGCAAACGATATTCAATTGGAAATAAAATCCCATTAATTGGTAAAAACAACGAATTAATTGCAATTAATGCAAATAACACAATCATTTTAACAATTATTTAATTAAATTAAACAATAAAATTAGTTTTTAATTAATATATATTTATATATGTGAAGTCTAATCGAAAATGAGTGACATATAATAAAACTAAAAACTTAATATAAGTTTTTATAGAAAATTTTTATACCAAAATCACATTTGCAACATAGAAATTCAGTAACTGATAACTAAAAAATAAATGATTAAAATTTTTACTAAAATACTATTTATCTCGACATTGAAATCCTGAAAGCCTTCCAAATGTCTCAAATGATTAGATTTAATGTTTACCTGACATACCTTTACTGTATAATAATATTACAAGTTTGCTAAACTCTAGCATTTCTGTTAAATTATTTGTGCAAAATTCATGTTTAGTCAAATATTAATATACTATTAAAAAATATAATATTATTATTGTTTTTTTTTTAATTTAAAAAGATAAATATTTAATGCATATTTGAAACATATGTTTTTTTACTATTTAGTCTCATTACAGTATAATTATAGTTATTATGTATTTATTATAATTTATGATTAGTAAATAACTTTTTCTGTAATAAAGTTTTATAATCTGAGAAAATTGGATAATTTATAATACACTTAATTATAATCGTTTAATAATGAAAAATAATAAATAGAAAATATAATCAATGACTAAAAACTTGGTTGTGTTTTTCTAAAATATTAAATAATTTTAAATAAAATTGAGTATTTAGTACAAAAAAATATTTTAATACATACATAATATAATAATGAAATAAATTGAAAATTTATTTATTAATACAATACAATATTTTACATTTTTCGAAATATGATTTTTGAAATTTATTTATTTTTACAATCTGGAATATTAAGTATTGTTTAACATGTAAATCATAATAGCAAATAAATATTGTATTTAAGAGTAAATTTACGATTAATATTATATCAATTGACATAAGATTTCCAAAAACACATTTAAATAACTGAAATATTGATTTTAACTAAAAAAAGTTTATTTTTTTGAAAATTGAAGATAATTTAAATGGATTTTTTTTAAAGAAAAATTTGCAAATTTACAAAATATTTCAATATCTTAATAACTTGTATTTATGTATTTCCTAAAATAAAAAAAAAATATATGTTAGTTATTATTTTACTCAATCATATTAAAAATTATTCGACAAATCAGTACAAGGATTTTGGCATTTTTTAATAATTGTGTGTAATTTACAGTATATTTTGTATTTATTGAGTTTAAAAGATAAACTTCTTTAATGTTATGCTTATATTTTTTATAAATTATAATTAATAAATCTTAATAAAATATAAATAATTTATTATATTTTTGTTTTGAAATAATTATTTTATTGATAAGTACTTTACATAATATTAGATATAAAGATTTTTTTTAATAATAATAAATTTAGATTTAAAAATATAGTATTACTGTATACTAAATAATAATATAAATTTATATATTATATTATTGCTGGAATTAAATTAATATTAAGAATTAATGCGATTTAATAAATTTTATTATAATTAGTTATAAATATCAAATAAAATTGTAAAATATTTTTAAAAATCTGATTTCAAGGCAAATGACTTTTTCATTAATTCGTTATTTTATGACATTTTATCGAACATTGAACTGAAATAATGCATAAATTAAATGATAACTTAAAATGAGTCCTCACAACCATTAATACTTAAAAGGGATCCTAAAAGTGTAAAATTGTAAAATTGTAAAATTGTACTAGACACTTTTAGATTTTATACTTTAAATCAGGCTCCTTTTTGTTGTTGTTGTGTGTATGTATGTAGTATGTATGTGTGTGTATGTTAATATATGTGTGTTGTGTATATGTGTGTGTGTATGTATGTGTTTGTGTGTGTGTAGAAATAGTTTAAAAAGTGTTAATTATATGAAATTCATATTATGAATGATTTTAATGTATAAATTATTAACTATAAATTCGAGTCATCTCACGTGCAAATAGTATAAAAAATACATTTAATACATTGTTGTACTGCACGCGCAAACAATATTAAAACTAAGTCCTCAAAGGTAAGCGTAAACGAGAAATTTTAAAACTTAAGATATAATTAAAATTTATTTTTAAAATATAACAAAAGTTTGAGTTTTTCATAATAAACTATAAGTTTGTTTATTAATAATATGGATAATTCAAAGAAAACAGTTTCCAGACCTAACATTGTATTAACCGATATCTATGGTGTCATAACTTCATTGAATTTTAAGAATGATTTGATAAATTATATTAAGATTAATGTTTTGCAATATTTAACGACAAATTGGGAAAACAAAAGAATTAAAGATATTATAAATAAATTGAGAGATCAGACATCAATTGATAGAAGTAGTGGACTCGATATACCCATTATAATTGATATCAATGAATCCAAAGATAAAGTTATAAAGTCAGTGAAGGATAATATTTTGTGGCAAATCGAGAAAAAACACAAACGATCTCAAACTCAATTGAATTTACTCTACGAAATGATTTGGGAAGAAGGGATGTCAAACCTATCACTTAAGACACACGCTTTTGATGATGTGATCAAAGCATTTAATAAGTGGAGATGTGTTCAGTTTGTTAAGATATATTCATATGCTATGGGATCAGATAAATCACAAAAATTGTTTCTCAGGTCATCTATTATTGACGGTTTATCTGATTATTTTGCCAATTATATAAACTCTTCGGGTGACAATACAAGTCAAACACACAAATTTAAAATTATTTTATCACAATTACGTGAACCTAATCCCAATAATATCCTTTATTTCACCGGTGATGTCAAAATGGCGAGAGCGGCCATTGAAGCCGGATATAGGGCTTGTGTTGTACAACGACCTCATAATCATCAGTATTCTGAAGAAGAACTAAAGGATTTATTGACCATTTCATCACTCGATGACATTGTTTTTGAAGAGGAAGGGGTAAATCCTGTGCCCTGTTGTTAGACTTACTCTAATTTTTAATAAAATCAAACTTTCATTTAAAACAAACTTTATTTAATGTTATTATTTCTACATTATATATAATATGACTAGAAATAGAGTATTTTGAAAGTTTTTATTGCAATTTGCAAACAAAAGTGAGTATTAATTGAGACAAATTGAGAAAAGTGTTTTGGATCAGTTGGCTCCCTGTTCATCAGTTATGAGAAATTCACTTATATGCATATATATAACCCAATACATCAAATTAAAACATAGAAAGCAAACGGGAAACACCACTCTTGAGTACTTATCGATATCACTCGGACAGACACCAAACAATGTGTTTGGATTTCTAGAGCCTAATAAAGGAAGAGTAGCCGGCGGTGAGCCCGGAGTGGCCGGCTCTTCGGGTTCCGAAGGTTCGGCAACAATCGATACTTTTTTCTTAGGATTGTAATCAACTGACGGTCGACTTAATGTTTTGGTCTCAACCATCCGATAACGTATATCCTGTAAAAAATATTTTTTGTTTTATTTCGGTTATAATATAATGATATCATATGAATGTCACGGCTGACTGACCGGCATTCCACTTATATTTCTTGGTCTGGGAATACATGGATTGAATGGCGACGACTGGATGGGATAAATGGATGATCGGGGCTCCAGATTGGTATCCATCGACTTCTTTTTGTTCTCAATGGCAGCCATTTTAGCCAATTGTTGGGATCGGGTTTTTCTCATAGCTATCCTTTTACCCATATAACCAACGGTCGCATATTCAAGCAATGACGCGAAAACCATTGTAAAACAAGTGCCCAAAAAAATATCTATACTTTTAACGTATGATACTTTAGGAAGGGCTGCGTTTGTCGATGACATCAACGTTGTCATTGTCAACACTGTGGTCACTCCTAACTGGACACGAGCTGGACTAGCATTCTGTGTGTTATAATATAAACAGGAATTAAAACAATTTATCAAATAGTTTAGTAATTTAAGACATACCCTATGCAACCAAAATGACACCCAACTAATGATTACTATAAGACTGGCGGGAATATAGATCTGAATCAAATAGTAACCCATACTTCGCACAAACTCTATCTCACAAACCAAACGCGAATAATTGCCTATAATTTGTCATTTAAATAATAAATGACTTAATTTTAAGTATTTTTTGTTTAACATTACCTGTGCTTAATATTTCTGCTTTAGTGTGTTGTTTCAAACCTCTAACTGTAAACTGTGGTAACTGTACCTGTTCAGACATACCAACTGATCCCTTTCCTTTTCCCCATTTATACATAATGTCTGCCATTGAATATCCATCTGATTCAATAATAATAGATAATTATAAAATATGTTTTGCGTTATAAAGTATTAACTGATTGCATACAGCTTTCAATTTCAAGAGTACACGTTTGTTTGTCCATTGGGAAGTACTTCAAGTTCATTGCACAGCTAGTTGTCACAGTTAGTCTGCAATACAATTAAAAAAAAAAAAAAAACAATACAATAGTTTGTATATCAAATCATTTTAATAATACAGGTATTACTATAATACCTAATAGATCTCAACACTTCACCGGTGTATGTAATCCTAATGAAAGTGTTAGGAGTGGTTGCCTTATGAAACTGAGCGGACTTTTCATTGGCAAAGAAGGTGTCGGGAACCCAGATTCGGTCGGACACCTCTGCGCCCACAAAAAGTGCATCGATTGCAGGCGTCCTCTCAAATGATAATCTTGTGTCACGCCATCCCTGACGGAAGTAAAAGTCCGAAGTAAAGTCCTAAATATTATTTTTAATTATTAGTTATTATATTTATTTAAAATAAAAACAATTATTTCTAAATTATGTTTAACAACCATTTGAACTTCAGATATTGAACTGATACTTATTATATACATTGAAACGGCCACTTCAACGGGTGGACCTAATAAATATAATTTTAAATTAGTATATTAATCATTAATAATATGAATACTTTTCTAAATAATTGCAATTAATTACAAATACCCGCATAATTAGGGCGAACTCTTTTGTCATATTTGCCGTCAAAAAATGAATTTAATATTCTTGTAATATTCAAACCGATTTCTGTTTGTCTGTTAAATAATAATCAATTATACAATATATTACATTGAAATTAATTTCAATACATTTATCAATACTAATGAAATTGTTTTTTTTTAAATATTTTATTACTTACTTTGATGCTTTTGCATATACCCACGCATTTTGGTTAAATATATTTATATAATTAAAAAGTATGAATAAATATTTATAATTCATTTTTTAATTATATTTTATTCAATAAATTTAGTCAACAATTTAGTGCTATATATTGTCAAATTTTAGTAAACAACTTGTCAATGATTTAATGTTATTGATCTAATATATAAAACTAGTTAAATATTAATAAATTTTTATAGATGCTTATAATTTAATTACAAAAAAATAATTGATAAATCAGTTTTAATATTTTGTGCATTTTTAAATAAGCAATTGTCACAAAAAATATTAATATTTAATATATTGAAATAGTTATTTATTAAGATTACAATTATCTTTAATTGATAATCAATTCAATAATTACTTTTATTATATATTATTTAATTAAAAAGATAATAATTGTAAACTATTAAAATTGATAATGAAATGGAGACAATTGTAAATATATTGGTCAACATTTGATGACATTTTTTTGGTCAAATACGACTATCTTTTGCCATATTTAGTATTAAAGCGCATGTATTTGATATTATATAGATTTTTCAATATACAGTATATGGTTATATAACTATTGTATTTATATAATAGAAAAAAATCTAATTTAAAATTATATAAATTAAAAAATTATTTAAAATATTTTATTAAATAAAATAATTGAATAAAACGAAGTTTTTAATTTAATTGCAAAAAATTAATTTATGTTAAGTTTCATAGTATATTATTACGGTATATATTATACTACTGTATATAGTAGTGTATCTTAATATTATGTATTTGATTACTAACTTTGGTAATTATTAATGTTAAATTAATACTGTGTTAAATACAATATTAAAAGTAGAATTTAAAATATAATTGTTAATAATAAATTTATATTAAAATTAACAAAATAACTTATTTAAAAATTATATGTTATATATATTTATATTAATAAAGTTCATATCATTATTATATGACTTATTGAACATTTATATAAAAGAATGTCATGAATAGTAGGAACAGCTGTTAATACTTTATTGTGAAAGTTATATCAAATAAAATATTATATGAATAATAACAATGAATAAAAAATTGGGTCAAATGTGAGGAGAGAGTGAAGGGAAGTCATAAAGACTGATGAGAAAGAAAGAGAGTTCAGTATTAATACATTGGTTGAGGTGTGCAATGAACTGATCACCTCTTGTAATGGTAAGAGTTGGTCTCCACGGACTGTTCCACTGGTGTTGAGGACATGGATGCCATGAAGTTGTATAGCATCGACCAAATCAAAGATGTTTTTGGGGGTGAACTGTAAGGAATGGTTGTGTCGGTCATTGATCTGAAGGGGAAGTTCATTGACCTAAGATATGGGTTTATATGGGTTTGTATGGGTTGGCAACCTTTACAATGATTATCCCTTTCACTGTTAACAGTCAACGGTGCCAACGGGGTGCCAGTCCTACCATAAATGTAGTGAAAGGATACCTTCGACCTACATATGGGTCAAAAGGGGAACACTTTCGGTGGGGATAGAGTTGAACTCATGCAACACATACACCACTTTTACATCTCTTATAATGGTTTGGTCTCGCATTGCATACACAACTGTTCACTACATGGGTTGGGCTCACAAATACTTTGGTCAACACCTTATGTTTACTCCCAATCATTGATGAAAACCTATGAATATCTTTTAATAAACATTTGCCTTTAAATTATTAGCTCATTATATTATATTATATATACACTATTTTTTAATCATTTCCTAATAATATTAATAACTTTTTCAAAAACTTAGATTTATTGTATTTATGAATAATAATGTTATTAGAAAGTATTTATTTAATCTAATGAAATGTTTAATTAATTAATTATTAATTGATGAATATGTTAATTAATTAATTAGCAATTAATAATATTTGCTAAATTTTGTAAAATATAAAAAATGCTAATTAATTAAAAATATATAGTATTGTACTGTATATATAATATATCAATACTTTATTATAATCTATATTATACTGTAAAAACATATGAGATATTTTTGAAATAAAAATTAATCAAATTTAAGATTAGTTAGTGTCTAACAAATGAAATCAATTGTTAATATTGAATGTAATATTGAATGAAATCCAATGAGAAATTGAAATGATTATGAATTGAGGTCACAGTTAGCACTAATGTCAGCAAACTATAGGATCATACATATGGAGGACTAAGCGAGTCATCAAACTTTAAGAAATGAGAGATAGTATAGTAATATACAATATATTTGGCAAACTATAGCAATACTATTGAGTTCATGCAATGTATTACATAACACATACACACACAACACACCCAACATGTAGTGTGGGAGCAATGGATGTGCTGAGAGTTCAACTCTATCCCCACCGAAAGTGTTCCCCTTTTGACCCATATGTAGGTCGAAGGTATCCTTTCACTACATTTATGGTAGGACTGGCACCCCGTTGGCACCGTTGACTGTTAACAGTGAAAGGGATAATCATTGTAAAGGTTGCCAACCCATACAAACCCATATAAACCCATATCTTAGGTCAATGAACTTCCCCTTCAGATCAATGACCGACACAACCATTCCTTACAGTTCACCCCCAAAAACATCTTTGATTTGGTCGATGCTATACAACTTCATGGCATCCATGTCCTCAACACCAGTGGAACAGTCCGTGGAGACCAACTCTTACCATTACAAGAGGTGATCAGTTCATTGCACACCTCAACCAATGTATTAATACTGAACTCTCTTTCTTTCTCATCAGTCTTTATGACTTCCCTTCACTACTTAATTTTGACCCAATTTTGTTGAATGCATATAATAATGATTTTCATTTGAAATGTTACACTAATTTATAAATCCATTATTATTATCGATATTCAAATGTATTCAATGAGAATATAAATTGCAAAATCCGTTTCATTTTTATCAAAAATACTTTATTTATGAAAATAATCTGAGAATTAAACTTATGGTAAGTAAAAGATTTTAAAATTTTTATACAATGACTACAATTTCTATAATTTGTCAATTATATTGTAAATATTTAATTATAATCGAAAAAAATCAAAAATTATAATAAAATTGTATATAAAATAGTTGTAAAATTCAATAAAAATATAAAACATTGAAATTTATGTGAAATTATTTCAAAACTGATTGAATTAGGCGTTCAATTGATTTAAATCGATAACAATTTGTGTTTTATTTGTAATGAATTGTTTGATCTCAATGTTTGTCATTTGAAGCAAACGTTTTGAGGCAACAAATTCTGGTTTGTCTTTATATTTGTCAGACATATAGACCACACGTTTAATACCCGATTGAATGATCAGTTTTGCGCATTCATTGCACGGGAAGAGACCGACAAAAATTGTACAGTTCTTCACATCCGAGCTATTCTTGTTGAGAATGGCGTTGAGCTCTGCGTGACAAACATACGGGTATTTTGTGTCCAATACATTGTCGGCGATGCGATTCCACGGCAAGAGGTCATCACTGCAACCAATAGGCATACCATTATAGCCGATACCAACAATCTTATTGTCGTTGTTGACAATACACGCACCGATCTGACTGCTCGGGTCTTTGCTTCTCATAGCCGACAGATAAGCCACTGACATGAAGTACTCATCCCAAGAGATATAGTCAGTCCTTTTGGTCACTTTCTGGTCATTATTATTACCGATATCATCACCACTTGAATCCATTGATACTTTTATAAGTAATACCTTTTTTAAAAATCCTTTCTATACTTTTGGTGCATTCATTCAATTAACTCTTTCATCAATAGTTTTAGTTATTTTAGATGACAATCAAAATCTTTGGTGAAAGTGATGGCAATTGATTGACCGCTAGAGTGACCGCTAGAGTGACCGCTAGAGTGACCACTGGTCAGTACAAGTGTTTTATCAAACAATACATTAATCGATAATTCAATTGATTTGAATTTAAATTATTATTAAAATATTAATAATACATAAATTACGTCAAATTTAATAGTTTTTAATTTATTTTAATTAATACTTTAAATGTTTAATAATAAATAATTTCTGTTTAAATATATTTAATATTAACTAAATTTTAATAAAATTAGTAAATTATATATAAAAATATTTATAATATTTTGATTAAAATATACAATAATATTAAAATAAAACGAAATTTATGTAAATAAATAAAAAAATTGATATTTGTTTTGAAATCTTAAAAATTGATTCAATTGTTGACCAGTAATATAGTGGACGACAATCACCGAAATGTCTATTCGGGAGTCAACTCATGTCGGGATCCGTGAAAGGGATCACTTATACAAACTAATGATAAGGTAATCAATTGAAAGATATGATTGAATCGATGATTACCACCGATTGTGTCTTTAGTCAGCTCTTCTACGACGGCCACCAAACTCTGGCGTTGCAATTGTCGGGCGCCGTGAAGATGACCGATGCGTGTCCACCATCTGATCGTTTGATTAGTTTAGTGGCAAATGCTCTTAAACTGGAAGATGGTTTGAATCCTAAAATTGTTAAATCATATTATTCTCATATCATATGATAACTTGTTTTTTGATATATTGTGTCCAATAGAGAGCTCTTCAATAATGACTGATGTCATACATCCCGGCGCTGGCATTGATCTTGACTTTGAAACTGAACGGACAGGAACTTCAGTACAGACGAGTCAATATGAAACAGTATACGTGACCTCTCATAAGGGCCCGTGTCGTGCCGGCGCATTCTCACCCGATGGACAACTTGTGGCCACCGGATCTGTTGACGCGTCCATTAAGATATTGGATGTCGAGAGGATGATAGCTAAAGGCAGTGGAGTTGCAGAAGCACAGGAAATAGCCGGACAAACGGATACACATCCAGTGATTCGCACACTTTATGATCATATGGAAGAAGTGTCGTGTGTTTTGTTTCATCCGACAGAACTATTGTTAGTATCGGGAAGTCATGACATGACTGTCAAGATCTATGATTACGCAAAACCATCGGTTAAAAGGGCTCTCAAATCAATACAGGTTTGTGTTTAGCTTTTTTTTGTCCAATAAATAATAATTTCATTCAAAATTATAATTTACTGATAATTATTGTCATTTAATGAAACAAAACAAAATCTATGAAAAACTGTATTTTTAATTATGACAGTAATATCTTAATAATTTAATTGTAAAGATATCAGTGTTTTAATCAAATGTCTGTATTTAAAGGAAGCGCATGTAGTTCGTTGTCTTGCTTTTCATCCATCGGGTGATTATCTCTTGGTTGGTACACAACATCCAACGTTAAGACTTTACGACGTGAATACAGCGCAATGTTTTGTGTCAGCCATACCTTCAGACCAACATAACGGTGCTATAACTCAAATAAATTACTCTCCAAATGCATCCATGTATGTGACGGCATCTAAAGATGGAGATATTAGACTCTGGGATGGAGTGAGCAATAGATGTATAAATGTCTTTCCTCGCGCTCACGAAGGCTTTGAATTATGTTCTGTGGTTTTCTCCAGAAATGCCAAAGTAATAGAAATATTTGTAATATTTTTTTTATAAAATTTTTATTTTCATTATAGTATGTGCTGTCGAGTGGAAAGGATTCAATGGTTAAATTATGGGAACTATCGATGTCAAGGTGTTTAATAGCTTATACAGGTGCCGGTGCTTCTGGCAAACAAACTCATAGAGCACAGGCATGTTTTAATCACACAGAGGACTACGGTTTGTTGATATTTTAAAATAGATTATTAGAAATAAAAAAATAATTTTTTAAAATTAAATAATTATTGTTTATTAAATAAATTCAAAATTTTTAGTATTATTTCCGGACGAGAAGTCAATGAGTCTTTGTTGTTGGGATTCCCGTAACGCTGAACGACAACCACTGCTGTCTTTAGGCCACAACAACGCTATTCGTCAGTTCTGTCATTCCCTAACTCAACCGGCATTTCTAACGTGTAGTGATGACTATAGGGCCCGGTTCTGGTATCGCAGACCCGATAACGTCAATCTCTCATAATTTTTTTGATCATTTAATGTCATTTCAAATTTTCTATTTATCATTGTTTTAATTTATAAAAAAATAAAGCATTGAAAAACTTTTTGCGTGCATTTACTTCACGAATGTTAACAATGTATTCATTTTAATTTACGGTAATTTAAATATATTTTTATCCTAAATTCAGTTATTATTTATAGGTTTTAAAACAAATCTAAATCATTTTTAAGAATATATATTTAATATATTGGGAACAGCTTTTAATGGACAACTCAACAAATGTTGGCGACAAAGATCTGAACGCACTTAAAGAGAGAACCAAAAAGAGTTTGGATTCTTTGATTATCAATGAATTTCCTAAAAGAATTGTTCAAATGAATCAACTCATTGATACTAAACTTAATGTTAATAAAATTAAAGAAATTAAGACAATTGTTAACATTCCTATTCCCGACAAACCAACCGCAGAGATCCAAACATCAGTGACAACACCGATATCGCGGACAAGTCTTGATCGGCGAGTATTTCTATTTCCCAATGGAGTCAATCAAAGCAATTCAGAGATTTGTAAACTTATTGAATGTGTGAAACCTCTTCTTTTGGATTTTGTCAAAGATATGCGATTACTTAGGTTTGCAATTCAGTTAATGGTTCCCACAGTTGAAGATGGAAATAATATCGGTGTTGTCATACAGTCTATAGCCATTAAACTGATTGAATCTTCAGAAAAATTGGCTTTAAGTCGATTAAAACAATTCGGTAAATATCATAATTCTCGAGGAAATGTCGTTTCATGGATCGCACGATATCCTCACTGTCAAGACTATCGTCATTGTCTTGAAGAAGAAGACCAAAAATTTTATTTAATTTTGTGTCTTATGATTAGAGAAATGAGAGACAAATACGTTTCAATCAATGATTTTGTGGTCAAAAATTTAGACAAAATCAAGAATCCCCGACCCGTTCGCATCAATTCTATGTATTGAATATTGACTTAACATTCAAACCATTCATTCAACTATCAAATTATATACAGTATATACAGTGTATTATTAATGTTTTGAATATAACATAAAAATTGTTTTAATTTACAAAGTTTTGTACAATAGTACCACAGTTTATAATAAATTTAATTTTTAAAACTATCTCTTGTTTGACATTTTTTCACAATCACTACTTTAGTGATAATACAACTAAAATAGATTATAAGTTATAAAAATCTTATCATTTTACGAATCAGTTATATCTTTTAAAAAGCGATAAATTTTAAGCAATCATTAAATAAATAATAATAAGATTCAAATACATCGTTAAATTTTTATAACATTTTTATTATTGCTTAGTTTAATAGTACTGTATGGTATAATACAGTAAAATATTATAAGTTATTACTGTATTTGTAATTTAATCAATTTATTTGTCTAATTTTATATTTTACAGTATTTACTGCACAGTAATTTCAGATTAAAATAATACAGTAGATATTAAGCAAAATTATATATATGTTTTTAAACCTTAAATAATTTGGGAAATAATTTATTTTAGTAGTTTTATTAATTAATTAATAAAATATCAAAATATAATGAGATATAACATTAATAATACTCATATGGTTTTAATTGAAAATAGATACTTATTGAAAAAATAATTTAATAAATTCAATAATTTTATATTTATGTTTTTTTGTGTAAATTGTTTTAGTTTTCACTAAATTCAAACCTGAAATTCAGATATAAATTAAGAACAGAAAACTAAAAAATATATAATTAATTATTTTTTATTAATATAAAATAATTAACAATTTATTTCTTTATTCATAATTTGAATAAATTATGTAATTTTTTAATTTCAATGTAATTAAATGTATTTTACTGCAACACATTGGACTTTTGAATGTAAATTATAACAATAAAAAATGTACACCAAATATACCAATAGATTATGGTAATTTAAAATTGGTGCAAAATTAAAAAAAAATAATAGTTTAAAAAATAGTTATTTTCAAAACAATATATATTTATATCAGGGTTAAGTAAGGGGGGGGGGGGGTAAAGGCCAAAATACCCCCCCCCCTAAGATCGAGAAATTGGGATTTTACCCCCCAGACTTTTTGACCAAATGGGAAAAATTGTCGCTTAAAAACGAGGAGAAATGACCCCCCCCCCCCCCCTAAAATTTCGGCGCCTTCGGCGCCGAAAATTTTTTTGAGATTTATAAAAATTTTAATTTTAGTTAATACTATTTTAGTAAGTGTTTTTATGTTTTTAAAATTTATATGATTCTAATTATTGATTAAAAATAAGTAAAAAAGTTAAAATAACGTTAAAACTCATCAAAAAATAACATAATTTTACTTAAAATATTAAACTAAAAAGTTAAAAAATACCAATTTGTTGAAAAGAATAATCATATTACAATATAAATAGAAGTTTGAGATAGTTTAAGAAGTTAATAAAAAAATAAATACTTATATTACAAGGTTTTTATTAATAATTTTTAAAATTTTAACTAAAAAATTTAAAATATTTTTAATTTTATAATTAGTATTCAATCAGTATTTACATAAAAATAACATTAAAAAATAAAAATATATATCTATAAACTATAAGCATTAAGTATTATTTAAAAAATTATTTTAAAAGTTAAAAATTACTAAAATACTAAAAAACTCAGTGTATCATTAATGCCTTTATCACCTATTTTTAAGTATTTAATACATTATTATTTTATTTTTTGCTAAAATTTAAGTTTTTATTAATTTTTAAAATTTTTTTAAAAAATATTTATTTTTGTTAAAATTTAACTTTTTTTTATTTTTGTTAAAATTTAAGTTTTTTTTAGTATTTTTGTAAATTTTACCTATTTTCCTGGGAATTTATACGGGAACTTATGGGAATTTTATCGAATTTACATGGGAATATTCGGGAATTTAAGGGAATATTAGGGAATTTTCTCTTGACCCCCCCCCCCCCTTGATTTTGGATTTTTGAAAAAATTGCCGTTTAAAAATGCAATAAAAATCTTACCCCACCCAATACCCCCCCCAAGATTTTTCGAGAATTTTGTAAATTTTACCCCGGTCTACCCCCCCCTAAAATCCAAAACCTTGCTTAACCCTGATTTATATATATCATATACGTTTCAATATATATATTGTGTAAATAACTGTAAAATAATTAAATTGATTACACGATGTGATTACTTAATGTACGTTATCTGCGGCGTAAACATTGTTTTTTATATCGTTTCACTTAAAACAAGTTTAAAAACTTATAAACAACTTATAATTTAGTAACAATTATATAATATATGAAATAACAAAGTATTCAAAAAATTATTTTATATTTTTCAATTTATTTTTAAATTATGTGAGATATTTCAATATCAATACATTAATACATGTATTAATTATTATTATTAATTTTGATTTTTAAAGTATAAACATTATAAAAATTATATTCATAAAATCATTTAACTCATTATAGCCAAAAAATAATATTGTAGTTTATCTAAAATAATAGTATATAAAAATACATTATTATAACATTTGTTAATTTTCATTAATGAATATTATAAATAAATAATATATAAAACTAAATTAATTGTATTTAATATATATATAATTTTGCATAATTAAATATATTAAAGTTTAATCGGGATTTTAATTAAATTATAAACTACTTTAGTTTAAAATATAACAAAATATAATAGTTTTTAAAAAGTTAAAACATTAATCTTATAACTAATAAGCTTAACATAAAGGTTAAGATAAGATTTTTTAATTAACGTAAAAATAAAATAAACAATGAATTACTTTATTAATTTAGATAATTTTAAACAAATAGAAATTTTCATTAAAAATGCAACAATATTTCAATTTGAGCAATTTTTAAAGTAATTTTATTTATTGAAATTCAATTATTATTAACTTTTTATAAATTGAAAATTACAGTTATTATCAGTCAATAAATACCAAGTCTTAAAATATTATTAAATGATTAATTAAATATATATATATATAATATATTTATTTTATTTAATTTAATTTCCTAAATTAATTAGATATCAATTGCAAATGTAAAATATTTGTTCATAATTTTACTAGTAAATATATGAAAAATTACTAAAAATAAATATTTATACAAAACGTTAATTATATTATTAATATAATATACCTTATTAATAAATTTTAAAAATTAAACCACTCATTATTTATATTTAAAAAATTAATTTTATCAATAATAAATAGTTAGTTTAATTATAGTAATATAAATCAATATAAATCATATAAACCATTTAATTAAATTAAACTTTACATAAATATTTTTAACACTTGAATTAATTATATTCTATTGAAATTGAATATTTTTAATCATTTATTTTATATATTATTACTAATTTATGCAAAAAACTAAAATTAATATAATAGCCAAATGCTAAATAGCTGATACTATTATAATATTTTGTTTAATATATAATATAATTATTATAAAGTTATATAAATTTTTAATACATTATAGATTTTTATTTTAAAAATAATTATACAATTAATTATAAATAATATATGATATAATTATTTAATATTTCCTGCTAAATATAAAATGCAAGTAATTTAATATTAATTTTTAAAATTTTAATATTTAATTTTTCATTAATAAATTAAAACATAACTTAATGCATTTGTGTTTCAAATACACAAAAATCTAAATTTGAACTTAATTTCTAATTATTTTAGTCAATCATTTAATTAATAAAAAGTCATATATTTACAAAATGTGACAAAAAGCTAATGAAAATCGTTTTCAAAGAGAAATCGACATATATTTTCTAATCTACTGTTCATTTATACAGTATATTTCAAAAATAACCTCAATTGTGACCTAAAATTTTGTTATAAAAAACGAATTATACATAATTTTGTATTTTTAATTTTTATGTTTTAAAAGTTTAATTTAATTGCAGTACTTTTCTAAGTAATAAATTTAAATATATAAAATCTCAATGAAATCAATAAATATTATTATTTATAGTATGCTTTAGTAGCTTTATAGTATGTTTACTGTAAACATTAGCAACACATTAAAAATATTGAATATTAAAAATTTCTTTTTTATAATCACTAATATTTTAAATATCAAGTTTACATATATATTGATGTATTTTGACAAAATTAACTTTTAATACTATTTTAAAAATCTAGAATTGATCTAGTAAATTTTTTGTATTTATTTAATAAAGGTTATTTTAATCTAACCTTACAAAACTTTTTAATTTATAAAATATATTACTTAGATAATTAATTTTGTAAATTAAATTTTAAAAAAATGATATCTAATATAAAAATAATTTTATAAACTTATAATTAAAAAACAAAATAAAAATAATTTAAGATGTTATAGGTTATGTCATATTTTTATAAGTTATAATTAATTGATGTTACATTAAATTAAATTGCAATAAATATTATAAAATTAGAATTTATAATATAGATATTATAGTAATGTAAAATAATTTAAATTTCATATAAACGTTTTACTTAAATGATAAAATTAAATCAATTTATTTACATTTAATTAATTAGTTTTATATTTTTATAGAAAATTAATTACAAATATTTGTAACGTTAATATAAACATTTATTATATTATTAATGGAAAAAGAGAAAAATGCAAACAAATATATATATATATATATATATATATATATAGAGAGAGAGAGAGAGAGAGAGAGAGTAATGATGTGAGTGTATTGAAATGGGCGGCACTTGTAAGGGACTGTTAGTGACTGTCCTATCATACAGTGCTTTAATTTTATAAAATCATATTATAATTGAATTATTTAAACTTTTTTGAATCTTATTGATACTATAATGAAGTTCCTGATCACTAATAGCCTAATTCTTCAACATTTAAAACCCAAATGTTGGTAACAAAAACAAATCATTTGAAAATATTGATACAAAACATATCTTAAATAGTTTATTGAATTTTTAAAAAAAATTTCTTAACTTTTTTTTTGTAAACTTGACTGAAATAATTTCTTTACAAAATGAAAGTTAAAGTAAGTTTTTATAACTAATATTAAACTTTGAATTGAATGTGTATTTATAAAAAATGTTTTTTATATCTAAACATTTATAGATGATATCAATTTTATTAGTCTTAAACGTGTTGTTGTTGTCATCATTTGAATGTTTTCCGATATATTCGGATTCATTTAAGAAAATGTTTTTTCCGGCCGCTATCTATGGATCTGCTCTTCGATGGGTTGCTTACGGCAGAGCATTGGAAGCGTCGAAAAAAGAGTTTGAAGACCTCACGGGTCGACAATTAGTGACAGACTCTGGTCTCGGCTTTAATCCGTTTGGTTTGAATTCACTCAAAGGATTGTTATCTCTAAAGTTGGCGAAAGAAAGTTTGTTTTTCTAAATGTTTAATAATTTTCTTCAAATATTTACACATTCATCACATTTTGAGTGCAATTTTATTTGTTGTTAACTTATTTAATACTTATTATTGTTTTTATCAACTGAAAACCAATTTAATCATTTAAATAAAAATTTTAAAATATATTTGTTAACATAAAATTATTTATTATTTATAATAATTAAATGTATAATAAATAAATTCTTAAAAATATCTTAATTATCAAAATAGCAAATATCTGTATCAATACAATAAGCCATTTATATTGTTACAAAATAGTGATTTTAGTTAATATAAATACAATATGCTAATAGTAATATACTAATAAAAAAATAAAATAATTTTATAATATTTAAAATTAAATCAGAATAATAAATTTTATATCGCAATATCAATCAAATCAATCAAATCTAATATATTATAATATTTAATAGATAGATAGATATTTTTGTATACCATTAAATATTTTTAAAAATTAAACTTTTATTATAAGATTTTTTTGTTGATATATAATAAATTTAAAATAACAATTAATGCGTAAAATTATCTTATATCAATACATTTTACTACATAGTAATTAAAATTATTTTATTAAATAATTAATACAATATTCTGTATTAAAATAAACTTAATATAGTATTTCTATATTGAAAGTATTTTATATTAATAATATTTACATATATACAATACCTTACAATTTAATTTGTTATTTATTTTTTTCCAAGTTTTTAACTTACAATTTTTATTTTTATATAATATAAATGTATTAAACAGATATATATATATATATATATATATATATATATATATATATATATATATATATATATATATATATATATATATATATATATATATATATATATATACAATATATATATTACTATGCAAAATTAGATTTAATTTTAAATATTTTACATTTTAATTTTTTAAGACAAAACATTTTTTCAAATACAACAAAATTATTATAAGAAAAGTTTATATTTTAAAATGATAAAATTTAAAAACAAATAATTAAAATAAGCTCTAATTTATATTATTTATTTTAATATTATAAACTTAATACTATACTGTATTTTAAATATTTTATATTCTAATACCAGTGCAAACATGTAACTTCAAATACATACAATAAGATAGGTATTAAATGTTAAAAGATTTAGATCAATATACAGTATAAATGATAAGAAAAGCTATTAATTTGCTAAAAAAGTTATTTTTGTTGTTGAATATGTATTTATTTACATAAGTTTAATGTTTTACTTAATAATTTGACTTAAGAGTCCTAAACATTGAAAGTATTAAGTAATCGATTACTTAAAAAATAAAAAAAAAGGAAATTCGTCTCATTTGAGAATAAAAATAAATAAAACATTGATTTATGTAAAGCCATCAAAAGATTTAATATATACATAATGTTTGTACAAAATATTCTTTAATTAAATTACAATTTTTTTTATTGATAAAATAGGAAGTTTCATATCAATAAAAAATCTTTATCTGATATTTAATTAGTTAATATTTTATATAAAGTATGATATATATACAGTATATAATAAGTCATATTACAATTTGTAATTTACAAGTTATACTATAACACTAACTAAATACTGTATGTTTTGTATAAATATTTTAAATTTATAATTAATTAAATATTTAACAAACTTTGCTTAAACCTGAATGAAATATTTATTTAAATATAAAATGTTTTTATTCATTTTAATTTAGCAATTGACACACACTAAACAAAATAATTATATATTAATATTTCTATTTAATTAATCACTGATTTAATAAAAAAAAACAAAGTAAAATTGCGTATAAAAACAATTCAAGTTTATTAAAAAACTTTAATATTATAGTAAAATAACGTGTAATTAAAAAAATAAATAAATAAACTTTTCGCTAATATTTATATAATTTACAGTATAAATTTAATTTTAATTAATTTTATTAATACTTATCGATATAAAATGTATTTCATCATAATTGAAATAATAGTTTATGTTATAATATTGTATATTATATAATATACTGTACAGTATTGTACAATACTGTATATAACAAATTAATTACTTCAGTTAGTTTTGACCAAAATTTATTTTTAGTGTAAATGCTATGAAAATGCTTACCTTAATGTATATATCGATAATATTACTAAATGATCAATAGTTGTGTTAATCAAAAATGATTTGTCATCCCTTGTATTTAGACGTATCTATATGTTTCAAATCCTTTGAATATGTTATCTATTTACTGATTTATAATATATAAAAATACTGTAAATGTATACAAATGTCATTTATTGTTAAACACTGTCATAACTAATTAATTACCGGTAATATCTAATTATAGCAGTTTTAATAGATTAATGTTAATTATCGGTCAATACAGTTCCCTATTCCCCTAATTTTGCTTTTCCCCACAGACTCGTTTAATTTACCAGAGGTGGTATAAAATGCAATGTTATTTTTCATTTTTTTGATTTCCATATGGGGAAAACACGATTATACGGTATGTTAATTAAAAATATGTTATTACAACTTGTAATTTACAAGTAATAGATATCATATTTTTGAGTAATTTTAAATCAATATTTTTTAAAATATATTTAATGGTAATATTGTATTAAAATGAATCAAATTAAGATACTGTAGTTAAAATAAAAATTACTTTTTGATCAAAACAAATGTGATAAATAAATTTATAAATACAGGTATTGATTACAACAAAAATACAGTATAAATAGTGCTAACAAATGGTTGTTAACTTAATTTAAAATACCCTTAAAAATATGATCAAAATGAGAGTCCAATAAAGACAATAATTGTTTTTGTGGTAAATCGGCGTTAAGTGTGAAAACTTGTGGAGAGTTTTCGGATTGTTTGATATCAGATAAAAGCCATTTATCGTGCAATTCATGCAATGATCGCAAATAATCCTTTAAAATATAACTTTTATAACATTAACTATTATATTCATTATATGATACTTACGATAGGAATCTCCTGTTCCTCACTACGGGATCTATTCTTAACTCTTTGAAATACAGTCTCCGGTGATGTCCTTAAATAAACAATAAGATCCACTTTAAGACAAGACTTAGATGACAACCATTTGAACCATTCATCTAATATAATAAATTCGGGTTTCGATAAATTTCCACTAATTAGTAAAAAATTTAAACAATTGGTTAATCTTATGGAAAACTTATGAATAGTATTTGTGATAAACCTTTGAAAAAGATTTTGTGTAAAACAATATCTGGCAGAATATATAGATCTCTCCATAAGTCTAATTGGTTTCATTTGGTGATCATCGGTGTGCTGTTGATTGGCATACATCTCAAGTCTGGTCAGTTGAGCGAAGTGTTCAAATGCAAAGGCATTCCTCGTCAGGTCTTTATATAGCATTTCTATGAGATTATGACCTCTCAAGTCATGCCATTTATCAATCGGTTCACATAAAGACATCACTTTATCGTATTTATCGCACAAATACTTTAATGAACTGCTTTTACCGCTTCCGATGTTACCCTCGAAGCAAACCTAATATATCAACAATCCTTTTAATTGTACAAAACATAAGAAGTGTTAAATCGGATCTTACGGTTAACATCTTTTTGGCCAAAGGTTTACATATTATGCCATTCATTGTAAATATCATAAAATGGTTACAACTTAACAATCAAAGAGTTGATCCAATAATAGCATCCAATGTGTGGTAAAAAACAGCGCCAAATGTATTAATATTGCTTTAAGACTACAATATAACACCATTAGTGGTGACACTCTTGACAAATATATATTCAAACATTAGGTCCATCTATGATATCTGTTATCACTTTATATCATCATTTTAACCATTAATTTGAGGCTTACATTAAGTTTATATCATTTAATAATAATTAAAATAAATAATAAAAAAAATTGACATTTAAGAGATTTTACTGTAATTCATAAGTAAATAAAAGACGTAACCATCGAGTGATTGAATGGTCAAAGAATTGTGGATCAAATTAAATGGTTAAAAGACTTTTGTTGCGATCAGTAGAAGGAATCGCTAATCGATTCAATGATATTATCTACAAATCACCCAAAGATGTCACATATAATACACACAACCGACACATTGTCTGCTACTTCGGCGGTGATATTCAGGACTTGAAAGACAATATGTGTGACAACAATGAAGAAAATGTCGGATTTGTTGACTTCTGTCTCGAGAATGTCACCGATCTTTTGGCCGACAGATTCACATCAAGTCATGTGTTTGTAATTCGCGCCAATCGTTTCGGATCTAAGACTTACGCTATTTATGATAACTTCGTGGACAGCAATTCATTTGGATGTCCTAAACATTGTTTTACTAAAGAGTCGTTAATACACTTTAGACTACTTCTACTCAATTGTTTCAATCAATTAAATCTTGACTTCAGACTTGAAAAAGATAATAAATTAACGATAATTGGTTTCAGCAAAGGATGTGTTGTTTTAAATCAATTTTTATATTCATTTTGTTTGAGTTTAGAAGATATCAACTTAAAAGATATGATATCAACAATAAGTGATATGTATTGGTTAGATGGCGGACATTCGGGAAGTGCTAACACTTGGATCACTGCAGAACCGGTCCTCAAGAATTTGGCTGAACTTCAAATTCAAGTCCATATTAATGTCACTCCATATCAAGTGATGTGTCCATTGAGGACATGGGTTGCCAAAGAAGAAAATTTGTTTTTTAATACATTGACCCGATTTGGCGGTAAAGTTCAAAGAGTTCTTCACTTTGCCGATGAAGACAAGTCATTGAAAATGCATTTTAATGTTTTAAAGCATTTTATTTGAGATATTAATATTAAAGTGATATATGATATCAAACGGGTTTATATATACTACTAATTGAAGTTATTTTTATGTAAAAATTATTTTTTCAAACAATATATCAAGATTTTAATCAATCAATTTATAAATATATGATATAATTAAAGTATATTTTTATTAATTGTACTTAAAATTAATATTTAATAATTAATATTAAAAATTATTTGACGTTTTTTATGAAAACGTGTTATAAATATTGATGTGTTTGTAATGACAACAAGTTTTGACTTTTAAAGACAAATCAAATCAGATTTTCACTAAATATTTGACAAAATGAGAGATAATTTGATTATTTCAATCATTTTTAATATACTTTTGGTGTCAATTCACCGATCGGTTAGTATTTTTTGATTTTGTTGTAAAATTGATGATTAAATCTTTGTCTTTCATAGTTTGCCGAAGACTTAATGATTGGTGAATCAAATATTGTTTATATCAAACTGTTTCAGGCATTCAATGATAGTGAGTGAAGATATGATATATTATTATATGATATATTGATTACAATTTGATTATATTTATAGATATGTCTTATGAAAGGAGAGCATTGATCACAATAAATGGTGTCAACAACAGTCCACTCATACGACAGGAACCGCTATCTATTGAATCGATTGCTTCACTCAAAGTATGCTTTAAATTGTCACCGATTCGGCTGACAATTGGATTAACTGACAAATATTTTTATCATTTAATTGACAGCAAAGTTCAAGTGATGATTCATTTTATCACTTGAAAGCAGTTGCCGTAAAATCTCTGGACGACGACACACCAGTCAAGACGTCTACCACTTTCATCAAAGCTGTCAGTACTTCTTAAATGATATGAAACAAAAATGACAATAAATTTGTTATATTAACCATTATATTCTTAACTAGTGTTCACTGTATGAGTCCTTTTTATCTGATATTCTTGTGGTAACTCTTGATTCAAACGGTCAGTTCTTGTCATTGAGTGTCTCATCCATTAACCCTCAATGCATTCCGTCAATAAAGAGCTCTTTAGCGACGAAATTGACTAATTTCAACACTACTATCATCGTTATGCCCACTCATGTCTCAAATGGGTATTTAACTAACAATTTTTGATAAATATGACTAACATTTATTTGATGACCAGACCGGACACACAGACATACGTTCAACGACTGGAACAGGAAAAGGCAGAGAAGATTAGGGGAGACAAAGGAGACAACCGATCATTTTTTGCTAAATATGTAATTATAGACTATTACATACATTTTCAATGATTATCTCATTTAATATCACTTATATTGTAGTGGATGTACATCGTTCCGGTCGTTATATTTTTATTGATCTCAGGCGCGGCTAACCCTGAATCAGGTGCTGGCGGTGGACGTTAATTGTAGAGACATATTAGTTACCTTAAACTTAATTTAATAAATACTTTTTACAATTTAAATACAGTAATTATATAATCAATAAAATGTCAATATTTCTACTAGTCTTACATTAAATATTTATAGAGGATATGATAATTTTGGTGATATTTTATATCATTTAAATTTTTTATATGATTTGTATTTTATTAAATATTTTGTGATTATCGTAAGTGACTTATAATCATTGATTATCTCAATCTTTTAGTTGACAGCCATATATAAAGGGAAGTCCAGAAAATACTTTTTGTTTGTATTTAATATAATCTCTGCCAAAGAAGTGAATTAAAGTAATTTCTTCTTCATATATACGCTCTTTGAAGAACTTCCAGCTGACCATTGCATACCCAACCAGACAAATGGGATTCAATAATATCAGCTAAATATAGGTATTGTATTTAAATTAAACAAATGTTATGAATTACTTTAGAAATTGTTGAATGACTCACTTGAGTGCCGATAGACCAACAAAACCATCCAACATATGAGGGATGTCTGCATAAGCTATATATGCCGTTAGTAACCAAAACATGACCCGATTTGTGACGATTTTGTACGATATGATTGAAATTACTTCCAGCCGTAATCATCGCTAACTTTCGCATCAATTCTCCCGATAGACATAAAAATACACCGAAATTTGTTATTATTGACACCAATTTTATTTGCGGCCAAAAATAAGTTTCAATAATAAATTCGGTAACAGAAGCGGCGGCCGCAATGCCGTACTCTTTGCTGTGATTTAAGAGGAATGAATCCAAAGATAATGAATTGGGATTTATTATTGCAGTCATTATATATTCACTGAAATGAAATAATGATAACACAGATAAATATAATCCAAAAATAGACGACCAGTTGGTTGTGGCCAACAATGCCATCCATAATCCCAATGCCAAACCTTCCCCTAAAAGACCGGCTCTTATTGAGACCTATGAGAGAAAGACAATCACTTGGTGTCAAATATTTGTGACAATTAATTACATCAAAGAGTTGTTTTGAACGCCTATAATATCTGTAGCCAAGGATGGCATGAGTGGTAAGAGCGTGACTCACGAAGATTACACCAAACCATTCAGTTATTATATGATCACCAAATGTCACAAAGTGTTTAATGACAGCAATTAATGGCAAAGATGTTAGCGATGATACAAACGATGCCAAAGCAATGCGTCCACTAAGACATACCATTGTCTTGTCTTTTATGACAATCACTTATGTCTTCAAACAATTCATGAAATAAATCAATAATTTTTGTAATCAATGTTTACCGCAATCATTGCTAATATAAATAAAATATTCACTTATTTAGACCTTTTATAGACAACACTAATAGTTGCAAATTGCAGTAACACTTGTGTAGAAAGAAACCAAATATTAGAAGGCAGTTAATAAAACGTGTAATACATATAAAATGTGAAAAATTTGTTTGAATTTTTAGATTAATATTAGATATTATAAAAAAATAAATGACAAATAAATATCAAATCAATTTTATTTAACATTCAAACAAATGCATCATTTCTTCGCTGTCTTAGGTTTTGCGGTCTTTTTCTTCGATTTCTTCTCTAATATTTTCTTCTTTTTCAACTCTTTCGTCTCTTTAGTTGACTTAGCCTTAAGAACCCGAAACTTGCGGTCAATGGCGCGGTTAACCTGAAAAACATACATACATTACAGTTAAACTATTTTCTATTTTAATAACAGATAATCGTTTTTAACGCACTCTTTGCTTAAGTTTGTAAAGTTTGAAACGATCGAAATCTGTCATCTCTTGTTTCTGTTTAATAAAATCATAATTATTAGTATAATTAAAACAATTTAGATATAAATTATAGACAATAAAGTGAAAGACGGATCAGAGAGCTGGGGTTATCGACACATTTATTTCAGTCGGCAATTCCTATCGAACAAGGGTTCATCACTTCGTCTTTTACCACAATATTATCATCAAATATGTTATCAAACAAATCACTCACCAAATTAAACGCATGTAATCTATTCGCTTGTTTAGTTTGCGTCCATTTGTTGGAAATATCATTTTCTTTCCACTTCTTGGCCACGACTGCCGATGAAGTGCCGTGTGGTATACGCAGTCTGAACTGAGTTAACCGCAATCGTTTGAATTGTATGGCCTGTCGCGGCACACCACTCGTCGGTCCGTCAATCAGAGCCCTATTCTGATCGATCACATCGACAATGGCGGCAGTCTTACCGGCATTCGCTCCGAAGTGGATGACCGCAATGCGGCCAATCTCTACCATATGCTTTATCGGCTGTTTTTAATATATTAATCATTATTAACAATCAATTTACTTATAATATAATATAATTAAAATAAAATATTGAAAGCATGGCATCAATTGACTTAAATTGGTTGCAATTGATGGCCACTTCAAGTGATACTAACCATGACTTGTGTTCACGTTTTGTGTCTTCAATGCAAAGGAAGTCACAGAAAGACGGATATGAAAGACATGAATAGTATGACTAACAGCGCATGCGTTCAACTCATTCATACAAAACGTGACTACACTTCAAAAGTTTAGGAAAAATGTAAACAAATGTCAAATGAATTTAAATTGTGTTTCGAATGAATTATTGTATTATTGATTGAAATAAATGTCTAATAAATATAAATATAAATAAATAATGAAATGAATGGAATGTTTGTCTGTTTGTTGTAATGATTGATACAAACGAAAGAAAACAATGTTTTTGTTGAATGTCTTTGGATTCAGACTTGACTTGACTTTCGCTTCAATTACTTTACGAAAGACAAGAATATCACTGTTTGTGTCCATTGTCTTCATTGTTGTCCTCATTATTATCGCACAAAATGCTGTACAAAGATATCGACATCTCAAGAGACTCAGACTCATTAAAGACTACTCGACAAGCATTGATCAGTTGACTCAAGACATCAATGATATCGATAAGACTAACGAAGAATTGCTCAAAGATATCGATTACTTGAAGAATGAACTCAGAGTACAAAAATCAAGACTTAATTTAAAGACAAAACTGATTGATATTAACGATAATATTATCGATAGTCATATTAATAATAATTTCAAAGATAAACATAAAATTACTTAAATATTTATAAACATTTATATTATTTAATAACAATTTAATTATTACAGATATATGTCAAATGTATTTACTAAACAAACAAACAAATTATTATAAATTAATTAAAAAATAATATTTAAAAAACAGATTTTTTTTTAAATTAAGTTTTTTATAATTATAGTCAAAATTATAAATCAATAGTACATTAAATATATAGTGATTGATGTATATAATTGTAAAAATTAATTATAACTATAATTAATATTAAATTTATACTGTTATCATTATATTTAATTAGCTGTTAATGTGAATTATTTAGCATAAAATTAATTATTAAATTAAATATAAGTTATTATTACAGGTAATCAAATATTGACATAATTTTTATTTGAATTAAGTATTAATGTATAATCATATGTAAAATATATATATATATATATATGTAAGCTATATATTTAACACTTAAAAATCAATTTTATATTTGCTTTATTACAATTACCGGTAGTCTAAATATATTTTATATTTATTTATGAATAAATAAAAATAATTAATTAAAAATTATCTCAATGTTTTGTAAATCACTAATAAAGCTAATATTATTATCTAAATTATTATTTTCAATAACATGTGACTATACATTAATTAATCACTTAAATAATACATTATTTAATGAAACCAATGTATCGGTTAATATATCATCTGATTTACCGATTAAAAAGTCTGCGTTTTTCTTTCAGAGGCCACTTATTATATTAATACGAGTCATACCTAATAACAGAAGTAAGTTATAATTAGTATATTTGTTTGTTTAATAATAAAATATATTTCTAAATATTTTTTAATAATCTAATAAAATATAAATTTTAATTAGATTAGTATAATTTAAAAAAAACTATTATAGCTTACAATCTAGTGTTAATGTTTTATTAGAAAAACATTAATAAATCTACAATTAAATATAGATGTAAATAATGGCGTAAATCCTAATGGAAATCCTAACAATCAAAACACAGCTTTGGGTGATGACGCTGAAGACATTGGACAGAGTGGGGCACTCATGAGGAATACCAGACTTAATAATTACAGAAATAATAGATTTCAGAGAACAAACCAAATGAAAAATAATCGCAATAATTATAAAAACAAATTTCAACAAAATCAAAGATATAATTAATGCTATAAAAATTTTATTTAAAAAAATCTTAATCACAGTTTAATTTTTCAATTACAATTATTTAAAAAAAGTTAATTATATATCATGTTAACTATAAAACAAAAATTATTTGTAATATTATAATTTTTATACTAGAAAATAAATTGTTATAAAATAAATCATATTTAACGACAATCAATTAATACTAAATTTGATGCCAAGTTGTCATTGTTGTCCAAATATTGTCTTAAATGGTTAATCCGGTTCAAAATAGGTATAGTTTTGAGAGTCGACTCTCATAAATATTGTAATATTTTTCTTGAATCCCATCATACCATAGAAGGCATCCACATATGTATACAAAATAAGTATCACAACTAAAATTAACTAATAATACATTACAATAATTAAATATTAGTAATGATTAATCATATAATTAATTCAATAATTCTCACCAAAATTTTTATCATATTATTTATTACTTTATAACAAATTTACAATATTATAATACTATTCATCAGCTAAATAAAACACACAATATTAAAATACTTTTTAGTTATTGTATAAAAGCAATTGTTACACAAATATTGCATTATTCAACGGAAATCCATGAATTTTAATAACTTTATACATTGGGTCACAAAATGGTTAACAAATTTAAGTAATAAAATTGAGACATTTTTAATAAATTTGCATACTTTGCGCACATATTGTATTTTCCTGTCATTCAAATTATGTTTTAATTTAATTTTTATAATAACTTTATAATTACATTTTCATTGAATTTTTGTAAAAATGCAAATATTATTCAAATCATTATTAGAATCTAATAGTCAATAATAGTGTTCATTAAATAATACTAAAATATAATTTACAATAAAAAACAATAAAAATAGTATAAAAGGTATTTTGTTAATATTGTGTTCAGGGTAATAACATGGATAAATACAGAGTAAATTACAAAATTAGAAATTTAAGGAAATTTAACATATAATTGCAACCAAAATTTGGTAACAAATAATCACAAATTTGATTGTTATATTACGTAAAAGTTATCTTAAAAATCATTTGGCAAATTGTGGTTAAATATTATCAGAATCACAAAAAATACATTTTGTTTTCACCTTAAAAGTATAGGTCATTATTAATAATAAGTATAAGTAAAGGTAAAAGAATTAATAATTTACTACTATATATAATATACAGTGAAACAAGTACTGTATATACATAATATATTATAGTATTGTAATATTACTTACCATTTTTTTAAATTTGTAGTTTATGTCGACATAAATGTTACAAATAAATCATAAATACGATATTTACATAAAACAATGCTATTAAGTATTTTTTTATTGAGCAATCTTTAAGTATCTTTTAATAAATAATAAGAATTTAAATTATAAATTATTAATAATTACTTAAAAATTATAAAATTGTTATAATAATTACATTTTTCATAGAAATTATATAAGAGTAAATAAATAACTGCAATTAAAATAAATTGATATATAATTTGTTATTATCGATAAAATCCACCATAAAAGCCTTTACCGTACAATCCCTTTCCATAGCCACCATAGCCACCATATCCTCCGTATCCTCCGTATCCTCCATACCCTCCATATCCTCCATATCCTCCATATCCTCCATATCCTCCATAGCCTCCATAGCCTCCGTAACCACCGTAACCACCGTAACCTCCATATCCGAGACCATATCCCATTCCTCCATAAGGAGATCCAAAACCTCCATAACCTAATCCATATCCATTAGCCTCGATCAACACAAAAGCAACAGCAAAGAGAGCAATAAGTGATATCTTAATAATAATAAAAATATTTATTAGTAAAAATATTTTCACAATTTACCAAATTATTACTTACAATAAATTTCATTTTAAAAATATTTTTTCAAATATTATTTTATCAATTGAAAACCAAATGTATTATTTGTTTTAAGCAAACCCCAGAGTTTTTATATGTTTAATATAATGATATTCAAAAATCCATTAATTGTCACCATTTGGTACCGAAAATAATATATTTACATAATTTTCTTAATTTTTCTTAATTTATTTTTTTTAACATATTATTTATTGCAATTCATTATTCCTGATCTTAATAATGAATTTTTATGACTTATGTGACACACCTTTCACTTTCTTGTGGTTTTGTCTAATCATTGTATTAACAATTAATTATTATTATTTAGTTTTTTTGTTAATAACTAATTCAATAAAAATAGAATAAATAAAACACTAAGTTATTAAATATTAGTTTATTTGCAAATATGAATATATATACAGAAAGTACAGTAAAATCAATGATTATATATTCATATATTTATATAGATTGCATTTTAGTGTAATTATTATATAACTACAATAATATATTTCGATATACAATAGTTAAACTATTAAATACTGTATAATACTTGTACTACTATTTAAAAACTACTGTAAATTAAGAGTAAATTTATAGCGTTATAATTTGAGTATAACTTAGTAACGTTATTGAGTTATAACGTAATTAAAAAATTATTATAAATTTATTTCTTAATTTAAATTAATAGTTAAAAATACTTTTAATTGTATTTTATAGCAAACTAATTACAATATCATATTAAGTAATAAAGTATAAATAATTTTGTATTCTAATTAATTTTATTGTTAATTAAAAAGTAAAAACAATGAAATCTCATTTAAATTGTTTCATTTTTTATTTCAGTAGTTTATATTTGTAAAAATTAAAATGATTATTGATTAATATTATTATAATTATAATTTGTACAGTATTATAGTATTGTATTTAGCAACTATTCAATTAAAATCATAGCAAAAGCATTATATAAATTATTTCATCTGTGACTTTCAATTACTAATTCGTAAATTATTATTATTATTGTTTTTAAGTTTAACATAAGTTTTTCAAGGATTTAGTTTTTTTTATTAAAAAAAACATTTTGTTATCATAATAAGATTTGTTGATAACTGTACTAAATATAATTATTACAATCACAAAATCAATAACCATAAAATAATTTCAAACAAATAATTATTTAATGACTCATATTTATTAAAGACAAAAGTTTCAAAAACTTTCATTTATAAATTTAAAATAAAAATACAAAATGAATTATTGTATTTACATTTCAAAAATGATATTTTTTGTAATATGAAAAGTTATAATAATAATTTTATAATATTTCCATAATTAATACTTACACTCAAATGAATTTATAACTATTTTAAGATTAAATAAATGATAAAACAATGATTTGTTATAAATAATCTAAAAAAATACAAAATGTTTTTAAAAATGATTTCTTATGAATAGTTTATTTTCGTCTAAAAAATCCGTCGGCAAAATTGGGCAAAACGTCAAACGTTCCCCTATTTTGTGTGGCGGATCCAAAATCACCCAAATTTCCAAAATCATTATCTTGATAATCATTAGACGGATTATTATTATTATTACCTGAGCCTAGGTTTGCAAAGTTTGCTAGACTTTGATCGTCGGGAAGATTGTCGTATCCATTATTATTTGAATTAGTTGTCGGGAAAAATACTGGTCCGTTGGCAGCCGCGGGAAATCCAAATATATTGTTGTTATTATTAATATTTTGATTATTATTATTATTATTAGTATTAGTATTACCGCCCAAAAAATCCATACCAAAACCATCTGAACCCATGTTAGGTATTTGATTGTTTTGGTTTTGTCGACGATTATTATTATTATTATTATTATTATTGCCTCCCAAACCAAATGAATCTAAATCTATATTTCCCATTTGGATCGGTTGCATTTGAACAGGTATTTGTTGTACATTTTGTGGTGGTGGCACTCCCTGTCCAAAGTGAACAATACCTGGAACATTTTGGAATTGTTGAATCGGGTTGGGTTGATTACCATTTGAAAACACATTAACTCCCGGCTGATATCCTCCGGGGTTCACGGCAGCTACGGGTGGGGCCGCTTGAGTAGGCTTTGTATTAGCGTTTTGAGTGCCGCCCGTATTAGCATTTTGAATGCCGCCTGTATTGGCATTTTGAGCGTTGGCCGCATCACCGAATGGCTGGAAATAGGTATAACCAGTTTGATAGGGACGGATACCTGTGTTATACGAATATCCCTGATTAAATCCCTGGGTGCCATCACCATTATTTGTTGCTATTTGGTTTCCACCAGTTGATCCAGTATTACCATTATTGACACCAGTATTTCCATTATTACCACCAGTATTGGTATTTGATTGACATAAAGATAAATTAATAACATAGAAATTTACGATTAATATTAAAAATATATTCATGTTTTACAACTCGAAACTTATTGAACACAACTTAAACTAAATGTAAAACAAAGAGAAAAACTAAGTTTTTCATTACTCGTAGACTTATATACCTAAAGAAACTATTTCCGCCAAAAATGGCTTAAAATCTCGCAAATCCTTGAATTATGCTTAAAAACTGTTTAAAATCTAATGAATAGTTAAATTAGTTAACTGTGCTGTGAATCAGACAAACGGTTAGTCAACAAAATTTTTAATATGATTAAGACTTATAGCAAACACTGTAATAAATAGCAATATTGTAAATTTCAATTGAAAAAAAATTATGAAAAATCTAATTAAAACATTAAAATGTTTAATTTTTTAGAAAATAGGAAACACACTCCAAATATTTGAAAAATAAATATTTTATAGTATTTATTTCTAAATGTATGAATGAAATAAATTGTTATATAATTTTATATAACTTCCTATAAAATTATCTATAGTTCCGATTATTATTTATAATTAAATATTATAGTTTTAATATTTTATTTGAAGATTATAGCAAAAATTAATCTAAAATAACATTAAATATTTAAATTATTTTTTTTTAACATTTATTATAAACAAATAAACAGATTGTTTATAAAAAAAATAGTTGCAAAAAATCTTTTAATATATTCATATAATTTTGTATTACCTAGATGATATAATAAAATAGCAAAATAAGCTTATTTTGTTGCAATTTAGTCAATTAGCTAATGATAAATTTAATATTATACTTAATTTTATTTTTACTTTATTTAATTAATATAATTAACATATTTTTTCATTTGATAAAAAAGTAAAAATACTATTTCATCTAAATTTTCTTAGTCTACTACATGTCAATAACTTTTCATTCACTAATTCATTAACAGTAATTAAAATAACACAAATATAGATAATATTATTAACATATTTTTGAAAATGTACACTAAATTTTAGAAATATTTTTGTATAATTATGAAACAAATTTTATGGTTCATTAGTTTTTTTTAACTGTGCTATTTGTGTTTGACTTGACATTAAATTTATTTGATTTATACAAATTGAACATATTTTTAGTGATAAAGTGATTTCATATTATGTTTTATCGTATAAGAGTAATACTATATTTTTTGAACCTATTAGTGAAAATATATACATAACATAAAATATTTATAAAAATATGAAAGTTTTAAGCATTGGTGCCATTGATAATATCCGTTTACTCTACAGTTTCCTCAATTATGACAAAACGGCAAGACATGGGTTTAAAATGTTTGGGAAAATATTTAATGAATGAAAGACAGCGACAATCGTTATGTAAAAGAAAATGTGAAGTCATGTTCATCACTGATGTGTGTTTCCTCTGAGGCCGAGACTAACCGATAGACTCATATAAAAACATATGCAATACTTTAAAATTCACTGAAACCTCATGTGTCTACAGATTATAAAAGGACTATAACTTTATTTACTATACTATTAACAAACAAATAAATTTATTAACTATTATAAAGTGAAACATTACTTATTTATTTATTAAAAATGAAACATAATGTAAGTTTTTATATGATACTAAATTTTTATAAATATTTAATTTAATTTAAAAAAAATTTATTATTAAATTTCAGATATTATTTATTTGTTTAATAAATTCGTTATTAATTATAACTCAAGTCAATGGACAGGGAAGAGGTGGCGGCGGCGGCGGAGGAGGAGATATTTTAAGCGGATTGGGACTAGGTAATTTAGGATTTGGAAATCTTGGTCTCAGTGATTTGGGTGGTTTAGGTTTAGGTAATTTAGGCGGGGGGCTTGGGGGTGCACAGGGTGGTAAGTTTATTTTACTGTTAAATCTAAAAACTTATTGTAAATATTGACAAAATTTGATTATTTAGGTGGAGGTCAAGGATTAGGTCCACTTGCAGGACAAGGACTTAGTGGTTTTGGTGGCGGTAATAGAAGAGGTGGTGGAGGAGGACTCGGCGGCTTAGGTTTGTTATGAAATTATTGTTTTTAAATATAAAACTAAATTAAAAATTATTTAATAATAGGAGGACTCGGAAATCTTGGTGGTGGTAGAGGTGGAGGAGGAGGAGGAGGCGGTGGACTTGGTCCTCTTGCAGGACTTGGAGGTCTCGGTGGTCTTGGTGGAGGTGGTGGTGGTCAGGGAGGTCAAAATCCGTTGGCTGCATTAGGAGGCGGTGGCAATCCATTGGGTGCTTTGGGACAATTAGGACAGGCACTTGGTTTAGGAGGCTTGGGAGGACTAGGAGGATTAGGGCAGGGATTAGGACAGGGATTGGGAGGTGGACAACAAAGGCAACAAGGAGGAGGAGGAGGATTGGGTGGACTCGGAAATTTAGGAGGATTAGGTGCTATCAAATTTATTCTAAATATATTTACGTTGTGTTTAATTAATATTCATTATAATCTAAAGGACTTGGAGGAGGAAATAGAGGTGGTCAGGGAGGAGGTCTTAATCTGGGCGGTTTGGGTGGCGGTAATCAAGGAATTGGTGAAAATGATGGAACTCAAGGATTTGAGAATTTAGATGGAGGTCTAGGAGGTATGTCATACAAAAATAATTTATTATCTTTATCACCAAAAAAACTTTATAATAATTAATTTTTATGATAAAGGATTAGGCGGTGATGGCCAAGATTATGGTGGGGGTCAAGACATAAACATAGACGGCGGAGACTATGGAGGAGATGCCGGAGCGGATGGACTTAAAAAATAATTACAAAAATGTAAGAATTATTTACAAATATTAAGAATTAGAGCGTAAAATAAAATCAAGGATTTAATTTTGAAATATTTTATAATATATTTTATTATTCAAAATCAAGTTTTAATAATATGTTTGTTTCACTTTATACTCAAACAGATTCAAAGGCCAAATAAGTTATTCAAAGGACAACCGTCTAAAACAAATACATTTAAATTGATTTTATTATTGTTATGTTTGTTACCACCAAATGTATTATACAATGGACTAAATCATCATTAATTTCTTAACATTATTATTGCAATTCATATCATTTTAAAAACTATTTTAATAATTATTGTTAATGTAATATAATTTAAATATATTTTTAATAAATATTATTTGTGTTAAAATATTTAACTAAAAAAATTATTTTAATAATTTATTGTATTAAATAAATTAATATATTATAAATAATAGACAAATTTTTATTACAATTACTATATTTTATATTTTAATATTTTATTGCCGGAAACAGCAAAATATTTAAAGAAAAAATACTTTATACACTGAAAAATCTATATTAATATATACTTATATTTACATTATTTGTTGACTTTAAAATATTCAATTAATTAACAAAAAAAAAAGTTTTTTGATTTTAAATGCATTTAAACGTATAAAATAAATTAACTCTTTAACTAATTAAACATAAAATGATGACATTTTAAAAATAGTCTGTCATTTAAACAAAATGTCATTAGATATATAAATATACAAAATTGTGTTGACTTTTCCACTATAAGTTAAGTAAATAATTTTTACGATTTTTTTGGTTAACCGGTAATGTTTGACAAGTGCTTAACACTCAACGCTATTATTAACTAAATACCTGTCACTATATCCCAATCCTTGACATTTGGTTTAATATTTTATATAAATAAGATAATAAAATATTTTAAAAATTATTTCTTGACATTCAAATTTTTAAAACAATCTTTAAAAAAATAATTATATTATATACCGTATACTGTATATGATATACAGTATATATTTTAAAGTTTAATTATATGATATACAGTATATCATATAATTAAACTTTAAAATATATACTGTACTTCACTAAAACAACGTTTTATCAAAAATTTTATTTTCTTATTATTCATTCATAACATATTAAATGTAATTTACTTTAATAATGCTTTATTTGATATTTATCTGAACATTAAATTTAATGTATGATTCAAAAAAAATATTTATATATTTTCCAATCAATAAATTCTTAATTCAGGAAAAGTTTATTTGATTTTACGCTCAAATTTTCTGTAAATAAATTAATGTATTGCTAAAAATAATGTCCTTTTAAAAAACAGTAACACAAAAAAATTAAATGAAATTTTCTTTGAAAAAAATATTTAATTTATCCTTCACTATGAAATATAACATAAAAATACACTAAAATAAAAATTAAATTATAGAGTTGTATATCAAAATATATATACAAAATGTAACGACGATAAGGAATTTTATAATTTATTGTAATATATAATAACTTTTTACAACCCAAACATTAGTTGTATTGTATTCTTTGAACAAAAAAATTATATCAATTTTTTTACTTTTTGAGCCCAAACTCGTTAGTAATTTATATTTTTTTCTTTAGTTTCTTCACAAGAATTTCAAACTGAAAGGCATTTTGTTTATAATTGCATTTCTTGTATTGATTTTCTGTTCTGTTCTCTCTTTTCTAAATATATTTTATTTTATGCTTTCCTTTTGTATCTGATATTGCATTCATTTCTTTTAAATTATATATTTATAAAATTTTTATAACTATAGCGTTTAAATTAATGTTTTTTTTGTATTTACAAATTTTAGAACTAATACTAGATTATTGTTTATATAAATAGTTAATAGTTTTAACTGTATATGTTTTAACATAACTTTGATACATATTTTTGTATATTTAAAAATATGAACATTTATATTAGATTAATATACTGTATTTTCAACATAATTAAAATTGATAATAACTAATATATTAATATATGAATTTTACCATTTTAATGGGTAATAATATTGATTGAAACAATATATAAGTTGTCTTATATTTACAAATATATACAGCAATTTAATAATAGAAATTTAAAAACAAAAATAAAATATATATTTAGGTCAAATTAAATTTAAAGTTTTATAAATAAATTTTATACATTCGTCCATGGCAGTTTTATTAAAATGCAAATACACTTAGTAATACTAATATAACATATAATAATGTATATAAAGTATATTTGAAAATATAAAAATTTTATGTCATTTACTTTAAATGGGATGATTCTCATCAATCAATAAACATTAAAGTAAGTAAAGAGATGTCATAAACAAACTTCAAGCTCTAAGTAATGCCTTTTATTATGTGACAAATTATTACAAACTTATAATACATTTTCTCTGAAATCAATAAAATGTTAAATTAATAATTACCATAATAATTATGCTAATTTAATGTTTTATGCAAATAAATATTATTTAGTTTTGTGTTAATAATATTGTACATTCAAATAATTTAACAATTTTTAGTTTATGTATTACATCACAAATAAGCTTTCTTTAAAAGGAATCCATCGATATATACATTTCAATATTATGTCTTAAATTCATTTCTAATGGAAAATATGTTAACAAATATAATATCAAATAAATGCATTCAAATTGTACTAAAATTATATAAACATAAATTTATATTATGGTGTTTTACAATGTATAACACAAAAAATAATAAATGCTATTCTTAATTGTTTATTTAACTCTTATATATTTAATTAAGTAACAATAATTTGTATTTATATTAATATTTAATATTTGTATTCATATTTCAACAATTTAATGATTACTCAAAGAAAACTTTTGTAAAAATTTAATAATTTAGTTGAATCATTGTATTGTAGTTTTCAATAACACATTTTAGTTTTCAATTACAATAAATTTTTAAAAATTGTTTTTTCTTTATATAATATAAAGTTTATTGAAATGAATTCATCCAAAAAGTTGATATTATTTAATGCAATTTGTTATAATATAATAACCATTACACTCACACTTATAATAATAACTTATGTTTCAACTATATAATAAAAATTAGTTTTTGATATTATCATAATAATAAATATTATAAACTATTATTTTACACGATATTAGTTTTTATAATAATGTTATTAAAGGGAATTCATTAATCTCATTGTTTTGTTTATGGCTTAAAATTTTTTACAATAATAATTATTATTATTTAATTATTTATAAAGATTTTGAGATAAGTACTATAGGAAAAAATATTAAAAGTTAAATGTTTTCTCCAAAAATGTTTATCAATGAATTGTTAGACAATTTAGATAAATGAATTGTGTTTTAATTTAGAAATACAAACAATTTATTAGACTTTTTTTTAATCTCTGAGAATTCATTATTTGATATCACATCTGGAGTCGGAAAATGTTTGAAGTATAACAAAGTGGAATAGTTTTGTCAAATATAATGTGTATATATATTATAAATTTATATAAGACTTATATATAAATTATACGTAAATTACTTTTTATAAATATATATATATATATACTATTTGTATTTGAAAATATAGACAATCCTGTATTTAGTAAATTTACAAAAATACATATGTTTTGTACAATAAAAATATATTACATAAAATAAATAGAAAATTGAATATATTTTATGATTTTTAAAAATACTACATTCAAAAAATTATTTAAAATGATAATAATTAAATACAATTTAAGCAAGATATAAAATTTATTAATACATTTATCAAGTATTTTTAGTTAAATTAAATTAATTATTTTTCATATATATATATTTGATTAAAAAATATTTATAATATTTTTTACTTTGATATTATAAAAATTAAAATTAAAAATAAAATCTATTTGTTGTATCATATAAATTGACAAAAAAAAATAAATTATATATCTAAACATTTGACTAAACAATGAAATTTATTTTTTAGATATATTAATAATATAATATTAAAAAAAAAACATTTATTACTAATTTTAATTCAATTAAAAAGTTATCCTTGTTTTATATCAAAACTCATATTTTAAATAAATATTATATTCTTTAAAAAATGTTTTAGTTTTATTACAATATAATTACAGTAAAGTAAAGTACTTTATATATAAAAAATTAATTAAAATAATTATAATTATAAAATGATGTTTTAAAGCAAAATCAAATGAAATTGATATTTTATATAAATTTTAAAATTATCTTAATTTTTTTATATAAATATAAATTTTTTATACAATATATATGATATTAGACACTTATACAGTATTAGATGATATTTGATTCTCTATAATAGTAATGGCACTCAAATAACATTATTAATATGTGATCTATTGTTAAATATAAATATTGGAATTTCTATTAAATGAAAACTATTTGTTAGGAATTATTGAATCAATAAGACTATTATATAGAGTAAGTCAAGAGAGCGCACCCATAAAAACGGTGTTACCATCGATACGGACATCACTGCGTCTGTCGGCAAAACTTTATGGTTATCTGTTGGTTCTCTAACCGTACTGTCCGTACTGTTTGCTAAGTGTGTTGTAATACAACTATTATTTTATATATGTATTGTGAAGTTAAAACTAAATGAATTATACAGTGGAGTAAATAAAATATGAAATATAGTTAGATATGAGTTATATATAAAATTTGTGAAATATATTTGTATTAAAGTATTATAAAAATAAATAAATAATGGAATCTCAAGAAGTGATCACAAATAATATAAACGGTAACAACAGATCAGCCGTTGAAGTAATGCGAAGATATATCGAGTCTTTGCCCGAAGAGATCTCATTCAAAGAAGAGGTCTCGAGTTATCAGTTTTGGAAAGCAGTCAGAACTGAATTCTTGGCCACTCTTCTCTTCATTGTCTTCACGTGTGGCTCTTGTATGAGCTATACATCACTTCCTCCTAAGTTTATGACTAATGTGTCGTCAATTGAATATCAAAATAGTTCAGAGACTAGTTTTGAAGCTATAGTTTTAGAGCTTAAAATAGCACTTGTGTTTGGTCTGACAGCTGCCACACTAATACAATGTACGGGACATGTGAGTGGTTGTCATATGACACCTGCTATAACACTATCTTTATTAGTTACCCGACGGCTCACTATATTTCGATGCTTTTTATACATTATAGTCCAGTGTTTAGCATCAGTTGTGGGTTCGGCCATAATATATGGTTTACTCACTAGTGAAGAGCGGTTGCATTCAGGACTGGGTCTAACACTTCCCAATCAAAACTTGAATGCAACTCAAGTGTTTGGTTACGAGTTTTTATCCACTTTTATAGTTGTTTTGACATTTCTTGTTAATTCTGATCCACAGCGAAGTGACGCCGGATTTAAATCTTTATCCATTGGTTTTGCTTATTCTGTCGCTCATCTCTTCTCTGTAAGTCTTATATTATTTAATATTTAAACAACAATTCATTTAATTATTATATATTTTTTATCTATTTATAAATTATTATTATATTTTCTAATTTTCATTCGTATAATTTAAATTTTATAAAACATAAACATTGATTAATAATTTATTTTATTTTTAAAAACAAATTTTAACTTTGAATTTAAAGTGCTAATTATTATAAATGAATATTTTTATTATTTAAAAAAATAGTTGCCAGAAAAATATTTATTAATTGATATCATTTACAATATTCTAGTTTATTGAGAACAACTTATTGATTTTCAATATACAGATAAATAGTTAACTTTTGAAAAATTGTTTATAACAAAATAAATTCAATTCTTGCTTATTTAGCTAATTTCAATAATTTTATTTAAAAAATCCAAAAACTAAATAAAAGCAAATCAAAGTAGAGATATTTAATTAAAATAATGTTTTGTTTGCATTTTTAATATTTATTAATAGTATTATTATCTAATTTTGTCAGATTAGCCAAAAACTAAGTTTTGTTTAAATAAGAATAAATCAGTAGAATAAATGTGATATAAAATAACACTAAATAATGTTATTATATGGTATATAAAGCTGATAGTCATACTAAATACAAATTATTATTTTAAATATATTATTTAAATACATTACAGTAGTATTCATTTAATACAAAAACTAATGACAATCTTTTATTGTACAGTAAAGTAATGTCCAAATTATTATGCAAAAAGTGATTCATTGTAGCGCTTTTAAAGCACATATATCTAACACATAATGGCTTTAAACGAAAAAACACTGCACTTTACTATATAAGTGCTGAACATTGGAAACAGTACTTAACATAAGCTGGAAAGTGCCTACAATTTTATAGATAGTCCTCTCATTGTTTATATTTTTGACTATCTATTAGTACTTCTATTTTTGACTGTTTTTCATTTCAATGCTATACAGTATATACAGTACAGTATAAAGACAAACAAACAAAGAATAATTGATTAAAACGAGAAATTTTTCAAACATTTTATCACACTTTTTAAACTTCGACCGTTTAATATAATATAATATATTCATAAATTTGTAATACATATAGCTATGAATCTAAAATCAATGGATTATTAATCTTGAAGTCATAAAACAAATATAATAATAGCTTTTTGTTGAATTGATTTTTTTTCATAATAACACAATTACTGTATTATAGGAACGCAAAGAATTTTTATCAGAATATATCATTTCAGAGCTTTTATTAATAGTATTTAGCATTATATTAATTTTGTATCATTTTTGCAAATTATGCAAATATTTTCTTTAAAATAAATAGTAAAAATAAATATTTACTAATAAATAAAATATTTAGTTATTTAATTAAATTTGAAAAACATGAAATTCTTTATTGTTACCACATTTAATTTCATTTGTAAATAAAGTATTTTATCTTAATATAAAAATATAGTAAATTTTTATAATACTGTATAATAAATAGTTTTCATTAGCAAATATATTGAAGGAATAAACAAAAGTTTGCTATATTTTTCTCTCTTTTCATAAAATATAATGATTTTTGACAGACAATTGAGGAAAAGACTATAATTTTTGTTGGTTAAGAGTAATGGCAGTGCTATTACTTATATGGATGTTTAGTATTGGGAAGTAATACCGTAATTGACTTAATGATCCGTTATTTCTAAATATCTAAACTTAACTGCAATAGCCTTCCACTCCAACATTATATTGATATATAACTATATTTATATATGATTTTTTGTCTTATAGCTATACATACAAACAAATATATATATATATATTTCTAACATATATTTATTTATGGTTTTTTTTCGTAATTTATACTATTATATAAACTAAGATAAATGTGTTATTTGGGCTATAGTTTCGACATACCGGAGCCTCATTATCTCCTGCGCGATCATTTGGACCGGCACTCATAAAAGGAGTTTGGACTGACCATTGGGTTAATTATTTATATATTAAAACACACATCACATAAACATTAGTGCCATATCTTATATTAATTATAGAAAAAACTAATATTTATGTAGATTTATTGGTTGGCACCACTTATTTCAGGAATGGTTAGTGGATTCACATATGAATACATCCGATCCACTAATTCTTCTGAATGCCAAACATTGAAGAGTTCATTCAGAAGAAGACCTTCTCATGGCGTCAAACGCGACCAGAGCTCCAATTTAAGCAATTATGAGACAGAGTTTACCATCACTTCAACTGAATGCCCCCGTTATTGATAATTTATTTATTTATTTTTTTATTCAATTATTTAATTTGTTAAAAATTTAATATTTATTATTTTTCATATAAATTATTTTATAAAAAGCTCGTTTTTTATTTATCTTTTATATTTATATCAATAACTATATTATTTATAATAACAGTTATATATTTATATTACTATATGTAAATGTTTAAATAAATATATAAAATTAATGTTATTAATTATATATGTTAGTATATGTATGTTTTATTTGTTAATAAATATAATCTGTATTATTATTGCTCAAAATATTGCTCACAATCTTTTAATCTATTGAGTCGACATTTGTTTAAGTAATAATATTTTATAATTTCAATAAGTTTAGCCAAACAAAAATTACTACAAAGTTTAAAATATTCTATATATTAGTATACATATAATTTACTTTATTATTTATGTATTATATAATTTATATAACATAAAAATGCAATATTTATGATTTAATGTTTGTATTTTTGATAATATATTATTATTGTTTAAATTTTTCTATAAACATTTTACTTAAATGGAAAATATAAAATTCAAACTATAATACATTATATAAAAATCCATAATAACGTTAACAAATATTTGAAAAATGTATGACTTTTGGTAACAAATTCTGTATATAATTTATATATTGTATTGTACTTTGTTTGCTGTAACCGACATTAAAGGTCACTATAATGTAATTAATGGCTTTAATAACATATAGTATATTCAAAACTAATAAACTGTAAATAAGCGAAAATGCGATTAAGTTATTGCTATTTTCGGTTATTATAGTAGACTTAACTTTATAATACATTACACAATAATAATGAGTTATATTATATAACATAGTCTACAGGACTAAGAGTTAGGCAACGACTGTGAGATTAAGTTAGATCTTCTTAAGTCTTATCTAATGTTAATATATATCTATATATTGTATATATTGTTATTTGGGTCACAGATATACAGCATTAACTCATTTCATTACTTGTCCTCACTTTTCATGTGAATCTTATATCTTGTAGTGAACTTCAAGTTTGAGTCCATTTATGTCTATTCTTGTGATTTACACCATCGATCCTAATGTCATACAGAAAATAAAGATAAAGTTAAATCATAGCATCCCTTTCCTCGTCGAGTTGACTCTCTTTACAGTTACACTAGGATTACAAGATTTATTGTTTGACATCAGCTTCTGGTCTCACAAGACGTCTGTTTACGACTTGACTTGAATTTTGTTTCAATTTTTGCTGACTTTTTGCTCTATAATTTGGGAAATATTTTCTGATGAAAATATCTCAATTACAACACCTAAAGCACTCTTATATTACTATTTTATTACAATTCTACTTAATATTTGTCACTAAACCTAATTCTTTCTCTCTCTCTCTCTCTCTCTCTCTCTCTCTATATATATATATATATATATATATATATATATATATATATATATAGAGAGAGAGAGAGAGAGAGAGAGAGAGAGAATATATATACACCTCATATAAATTATTCTATTTACTGTATCTATCATTGACCGCAAACGAAAAATAATTGGATATTGATTTCATTGCAACACAAACCACATATATCAGTAAACATGTATTATATATGTGATATATTATATATATATTATATGTTGTATAGTGTTATATAAGACAACAATTTAGGCAATTGTTAGTCACATAAATGAAAGAATAGCACTCAATATGTTGTATAACGAGTGCTAATTCAGTGCTAATTCCACTCCAATTATATATATATCTATTGCTTTCACTCATCTATTCATTCACTCATTTCATTGCATATAACACAACAAAACCATACAATTATTGTACTTTTATAACAAATTTTGTTATAATATTTTATTTTATACATTACTTTAGTGCAGTAATATCTCTGTATCTTTTGATAAAATTTAAGCCTAAAATAACTTTGTATCCTTTATAATATAGTTGAAATTCATTATATTTAAGCCTACTTTAAAAAAAATTTTAAAAATTGAACAATACATTTGTTATTATTTGCATAATTTTAGTAAAGCCTTAATTAGTTATTCAAATTTTAATTACTAAAATAATAAGAAAAAACGATAAAATATTTTTTTAATTTTTGAAAATAAAACACAATTATTAAGATGGTTTAGACGTGTTTTTCAATAATAATTAAGAAAACATGTTTTCCCTATATTTTCATTCAATTCCTTGTTATTTTTCTTTAAAATTTTTAATGCAAATTAAATGTAAATTAAGTGGTGAACTACTACTGTAAGTGATGTCAATTTTCATTAATTTCAAATAAGTCTTCAATTTAGATTTTCTTGAAATATAAATGCATTTATTTTTACTATAAAACTCATTAATATTTATTTTTTCTATTTTAATTATTTTAGTTATTTATACTGTTTAATGTATATAATGATTTTGAAATAATATATTTTTATAACATATACAGTGGTGTAAATTAAATATTGTTTACTAACTTATAAATATAATTATTATTATTAAATTAAAAATATATATTTGTATATAATTAAAATAAGTAATATTTGAAAGGAAGATTAAAATTAGAATTAAAAGGAAGAATAAATTAAAATTATTTATTAAAATAAAAATACATTTTTCTTTTATAAGATACCATACAATAGACGATATATTGACAAACGGGTCACAAACTGATAACAACTAACACTTAATATTGATATTTCTTACATTATTTTACTGTCAGTGGACTATTCAGTAGGTCTTAGAGAGTAATAATTATAAATTTTTAAATTTATGTTATCAGTTAAATATATGGACTTATATTTTGTAAACTTAACTACATGTCTAAAATTTGAAAACATTGTTTGTCAAATACAGTAGTTAATTGAACAGCTTTTTATAACTATATATAAATTTTTTCAGCACTTTTTAATGCAAAATATATTTACGTTTATGTTAATGTATTTATTTAAGTTTAGTATTATAATATACAGTAATGTAATTTATTTTATAATTTACAGTATAATTGTGCTTATCTTATTTTGATAAATATTGTCAACAAAAATAATAAATAACAATCATAATTAGTGTTAACAATTCAATTTATAGCACTACTACAACCGTTTTAAAGTTATATTACATAGATATATGATATATTATCAATAATAATAATAATTTATTATATTAAATAATATTATACTAATTTTCTAATAATAATAATAATTATTGCTACTTTAATCTAAATGGGTACAGAAAATATATTTAGATTAATAAAATAAACTAAATTAATTTTATTTGTTTAATACATTGGTGTTGATATATACTGTATAACAGATATAATATATGTATAATATATAACAGATTTTTTTTATTTACAACAATTATTATAATATGTAAATGTGTTTTCAAGCATTGCATTACATTGTGTTTGAAATCTATTTTATTAAAGTTTTAAACGATTAGACAGACATTGACTGCAATAAATGGTAGCTCTTGTGGTAAAAAATGGCATTTAATGATTGATGATCTTTAATACCTGCTTTCAAATTCACTTTTACTTTATTCTCGATGTAATCCAATATTAAACTCAATACACAAACAGATATATTGTGTTTGGATACTTAAATTGCTTAAATTGGTAAATATCTACACTATAAATATGGTATACGTAAGTAAAAATATATCAAACATATATTTTATAACGTAATATAATATAAATACAATATAATACAGTAGCTATATATTGTGTATATATTAATATATTGATATATAATAAATTGAAGCTTACTTTAAATTAAAAAAATAAGTCTTTAAATTAAAAAGAAGAATATTGTAAAAATAAAATATATATCATATTAATGTAGAATATTGTGTTTTTGTTGTGCAAACTGTTTGCTTAAAATGCAACTTTTTATTTCATAAAATTTACTATATTATACAGTATTTTGTATGTGAAAAAAATAAAATAAATTATATGTCACTTTAATATATTTTGAATTGAATTTAATACAGTTTATATTATATTTAAAAAAAACAAAATGAATATACATTCGTAATTGTATAATAATAATGTTAAATTTAATTTGATTAAATTTGATTTAGTAGTTAATAATTTAAACATTATTACAGTATTTTTATTTGTAAACTAATTTAAAAATTCAAGTATTATTATTATTTAGTTCTTAACAAAATTAGATTTAATTATGTATAATTTTGTGTTACTTTGTGTATTTAAATTTCAAAACTATAAAATACATGTAGACATATTTAGATAGATTGTTAAAATTTAAAAATATAAATTAACATAGACAGTAATTGAAAATTTTAATAATACAAAATATAAAAAGTTATAATAACTACTAATAATAATTTATAAATATTATTAATATAACTTTTATATTTATAAATTATACAGAAATTAATTAACAAAAATATAATATTTAATAAGTATAATAACTTGGTTTTACTTAATTTTTATTATATATTGTAAATAATTTTGTTTGTTTTAGTGTTTATTTTGAATATATCTATTAAAGTATCTTTTAGTAGTGTTGTGTCTTATATGAGATACAAACCGATCGATTTCTTTTAAGGCAAACTCTTGGATCTCTCTCTCTCTCTCTCTCTCTCTCTCTCTCTCTCTCTCTCTCTCTCTCTCTCTCTCTCTCTCTCTCTCTCTCTACATACATACTACCTCTCTATTTCTCTCATTATTTCTTTCTATTCACTCTTATAGTACAACTCTCTCTTTCTCTCTCTCTCTCTCTCTCTCTCTCTCTCTCTCTCTCTCGACTTTTACAACAAGAGATAGTGAAAGACAAGTATTACTCAAATTACTGAAACGCAACTGAATTACACACACATTAAGATAGACCACAGAAAATACTGAACGAATGAAGAGAATTGATAATACAATACAATATATAATAAAATAGAAATACAATAGAAATACAATAGAAATACAATGCATACTAACTAAGGTTAGATATATGAGTAAATTACTTTCAAATACAACTACATA